AGAACTTGACAAGGTTTCAGACGGCCCCTTGTGTTGCGCGCCTGCAGGACGAACAAATGATTTTAAAAAAAAGCAAACATTAGTCTGCGTGAACAATAGGCTGGTACATTAGTGGCGGAAATGCCTTGGTCTAGGCTACTGCAAACACTTGCGCTCACTGCGTATTGTGAAGCGGTATTATGATGGGTTCGGATCTGGGCACGGGGCTGATGAAAACACCCTCGTAGAATCGCGCTAGATACTCTTATTTTGCGCTGTGATTCAAACAAACCGATTTTGTTTGCTCAGATCATATTTCGTTGTTTTTACAGGTCCTTTTTAATTTCAAAATGGTGAGGCAAATCTCTTAAATGCAGAATAAGTCCTCTTCTGCAAGTTCTAAATAGCGGTTCGTTGCAAAAGTATAATAAAAAATGACGCATTAATGTAGGACCCAATTAAGTCGAAACCCCAAAAATTTCCTTTAAGATAGCAAAAAAGCGGAGTTGCAAACAATCCAATGGAAAGGTAAGTTTAGCTTCAACGAAAGAAGAGCCTTTGTGAGACTGCTACTTCTTAAAATAAAGTGGTATTTATATGCAATGTCATCCGAGAATGGAACCTGAGTGTTGATCGTTAAACTTGCGGTCACGTGAAGGATAATAGGCAGAATCAAATGACAAAACTAGTTTAGAGGTAAGCAGAAGTACTACATAGCGTGCAAGTTAAGACAAATTTGATAAATGTGGGCGAGCTAATAACTAAAATGGAAAAAATAAAACGAAGGTTTTTTAACGACTGGGTTCACACTAAATTATGACAAGACATAGGCAATGAATAAAACGATCAGTCATAATTTTAAAATTTAAGATTTTCTACAATTTTAAAAAGAAAATCTGACGAGCCTACTTTTAGTGTCCGTGTCTGGTCTGTATTTTCAATAAGTGCAGTTGGTAAAGCATTGCAGTGACAAACTCACCTATCTAAAAGAATCGCATATCTACTTTTGGAGTCTGGTTCGCCTGTGACACAAAACAGGTCATAGCCATCCACCATGTACGTCTGTTTGGGATTCCTTGTAATATTGACAATTTGAGAAATGTTTTTAAGTAGGATTGTCATGTCTAAACTAAGAGAATAATGTATAAGCTGACACAAAAGTTTAACATAAACGTAGTAATTTTAAAATGGGAACACAGTTCACGGGTTTCGAAAGCAAGAAAAAATATTTGAATAAAGACAGAAATGTAAGTTCAGGCATCACAGAAAAAAGCAGTGGTTATCATGTCCACTCAAGTCATCCTCATGGAAAATAGAACCATTTCTATGGAGAAATATTGGATGGTAGTAAACACATTTAGATCAATTCAACTGCATGGACTAAATTATTTTGAAAAGCCCTGAATGCAAAATACAATTAAAAAAGGAAAGAAAGCAAATTTATATATTTTGTGACTTAATTTATAAGCATCCGAAACCAAATTCGCAATGAGCGTAGAATACGATAGAGATTTAATCCTAATCAAAATAAGAGAGAAAAATGCTTATCAGAAAACCAACTAATACTGCTTTAGGCTCGAACATTAAAATTCTGATTGTTAAATAAAACTCATCTTTGAAGCAAAAATATACATAAGAACATGTGCAACGTAAATGATCAACTGCAAAATTTCGGAAATATCAAAGCTCGGAGGGAAAAGTCGTCGAAATAATTTAACAGATATTTTTGCATTAAACTACAAAATCGCAAGCTAATAACGACTAAACATTATGCATTCTGGGTGCAAATATTTCAAATTTGAAAAAATAATCATAAAAATCATTATTACTTCAATTATTAAAATTTAAATATGTGCATTTAAAGATAAGAAGACACTCTAGCAAATGTTTTTAATCTAATAGACGATCAGATAAAGTTAAAATAGTGACGCATTATTTCATTTTATATTAAAGGGCGCAAAAATAAACTACGGTGTAAACAACATACATGGTTAAAGTAAATTTAATATAATTTCTGATTTAGGTCGTTTGGTAAGATATTTGTTAATATATTCAAACAAACAGACAATTAAAAAATTAATAGGCAAGTCAAAAAGTTACCTGAACATTTATATCGATCGTTTAAAATTATGACGTTATACTGAATAAGGCAATTTTCAAATGTTATACTAATATTTCATACGTTGCTCGAAGTGATGATATTGGAACCGTTTGCAACTTTTACTTTACCGAAATATTTCATCACGGAGGAATACTAAAATGAAAGGTTTTAATTTTCTTTATAAGGAAAAATTCTTCATAAGTTTTATTAGTAATGAGATTCACAAATGCATGCGTAACATGTTAAAAACCGTCTTCCAAAATTTAAAGGGAGTAACAGTTTTATTGACTACGATTTAATGAATTGTTGTACTATGCTTTGGCCGAGCATTCTGAATTTGTTTTGACTTCAAATTTATTAATATTGTTGTCCTGTATAACTTTTGTTCATCTAAATTTAATGGAAAATGATTTGTACTTAAGAGCAACTGTATCAGCTTTACAGCGTGATGTAGACATGTATGCTACAGAGAAAAAAATCGCATCCACCCCATAAATAGATTTAAAAAGGCAAAGGTTGCTTCGTACAATTTAACAATATGTGAATATCACCAGATGTGCTGTTAAAACGTGGGGAACCTGAACAGGTATTTTGAAAAGTATTTAATGTAAATTTGGCACGATAGCGTCAATGCGAGAATGCAAAAGCCAATGTATATATTAACTTTCTACTATTTTGAAAATAGAACAGACTTGTAGATTAACTCTTTACCTGCTTTGTGTCCAGAAATCTAAAAACATTGTTATATAGTTTAGGGCAGATATGGAAGAATGTAACAAATAAATGTAGAATTTATCATAAATTCTCGACGTAATTTTTTTACTTTGGGCTAAATATTCGTGGCGTTTATATCTGTCAAATAGTTAAGGTTTTTTGCAATGCCTTGTTAGGACCTTATCTGCTGCTACACTAATTTGTTTACCGATTTATAAGTTATCAAAATATCTGTATTTTAGTCGTCTAAAATGCAGGTGCATTTTTAATCCTTTTTTAATGAAAGCATAGTCGTTAACACCGTTATTTATACTTCTGGGGTCCAAGCTGAATTATTTTAATCTTATGATATCCACATCTATCAAAGTACTTTCTTAGAAAATTCAACGTCCAGAGCACATTACCATTCAACTCAAATTCCTTGAAAATTTTGCGGCCGATTTTATTTGTCTTGAACGCGGGTAAACTCAGCCTATATTAAGATAAATTAAAAATGTACCATTTTTTAAAAGATTGCTTTTGAAACCTTTCCCTGGAGCATAATTTCAGGAACATTAGCGTTAATTATATTACGTAATCTTGAACCTTTTAAGGATAATTAATGAAGTATTTACCAATGTTGGTTGTGCAACTCTCAAATAATTATTCTTTGGGTGGTCCACTTCTCAACGTTTAATTTAATTAAAAAGGAAAGCACGCATCGCTTGCGCTTGAATGACTTTCTTCTTTTTTACCGTTCCAGAATACATTCGTATTCATATCCTGGTCTTGTCCTGCCTTCAAATCAACTTTAGCAGCAAATACACTTAAATGTGCTACAACTGCGTAGGACATACCAAGTGCTTGTTCTGGAATTCGATCTGAACCCGACATAGTTACCTGGAAAATGCTTGGCAAATAATGCTCCACGTGTGCGCCATGGGCATCTTACGTTTGGCTTCGGGTGGAAGTAAGTAGCTGCCTAATAGGATTATCTTGGCTGTCACGCAGTCATTATAGATATGGCGGTTCTTTCGGATGACCAGCAAGGAAAGTGAATGCAACTTTTCATAATGCTCAACTTCAACGCAATTTCTGCCTTTGAGGCGATCAAAAAGGGGACCACAATATCGACATGTCAGCATTATTTAGAAACCACACGAAATCCCGTTGCTTTGATCGTAGCAAAGCGGACAACGCTGTGGGACTAGAGGTGTAGAAGACGCCCTGTTAATTCCATCGGTTTTAGCGGTTAATTAGCTTCTGAGGATTCAAAATGTCCGCAGGTGTGGTGGTGTCTCATCATTTGCTTCTATCCAAAATGACCAGCCTGCTTTGACCTTAGCACGGAAACAGGGTTTTTTAACCTCAAAAATTAACTAAAAGTTCTGTTAAATGCTAGTTTTCTTCCAAATAAATGTAGACTAGCTCTCATTGCTGATTAATCCATTTTACCACAAGCAATCAGAAGAAATTAAGACTTCCTCAAACCTGTACCATTTGTACTAAAGTACTTAGAGAGTAAGCGAAATTTTTGAGATTTTGCTTTTGACCGACATCGAGGATTTTTAACCAAACCAACGCAAATTTGCATCAGCACACAAATTTAATGCTTCCCTTCGTAAAACAACGTGTTTTAGCATTACATAATTGAGCATTTTTGCTGAAAGGTGTCGAAATCTGCAAGCAGCGGGAATTCAGATCAAATTGATCCAACCAAATGACACAGAACTCATCCGAAATCACGAGACCTTGCTGGTTTATGTTGCTTGATAATTTTCAGATGCATAATCTGTCCCCTTTGGTGCATAGAATTTGATGTTGAGGAATCATAGCGCCTTGTTAGCTTCATTTACCCGGTTTTGTGTCCTTGACATTCTTTTAATTTATGCTGAATGTGGTTCACAATGGGCATAGGTGCTGTTGAAATGTTAGTTCAGTTTTTCCGTGTTTGTCCTGTAAACAGCTCGCTAAAACAGATGTTAAGCCAAGAATTACCTGAGAGGTGTCATTACGACATGGCAAGACTGCATCACAGGCGATTCGCGTGCCAATCAGCTAGCCGCCTTCCCTGATCGCTATTCACACTCGACCAGAGCAGACCAACCAATCAGCGGCTGCAACCAGTCAGATTGCAGCAGAATCAGTCAGATGGCGTGCATGCGCACTCGACTACGTGGCTTTTGCACAGGCAGGGTGAACGCGCGCGCGCTCTCCGCTCCACCAAATGCCGGAGACCTCCAGCCTGACGCCCGAGGATCGGGAGCGGATCGCGAGCCTCTTCAAAGAACTTGACGTCGACAAGGATGGTCGAGTCAGCGTGGCGGAACTTGCCTCCAAGATCAAAGGCTCGGAGCAGGCTTCTACTGCGGCGAAAATAATCAGTCACGGGGACAGCTCCAATTCAAAATCGACAATGACATTCAATGAATTCGTAAATTATGTCACGGATACGGAAACCCAACTGAAGCTTGCTTTCCGACAAATGGACAAAAACCAGGACAATGTTGTCGATGCACAGGAAATTCGGGCAGCCATGCGTGACCTAGGCGTCGAAGTCGGCGAAGAGGAAGCTGCGAAACTGCTAAGAAAGGTGGATAAGGATGGGTCTTTGAGCATCGACTTTTCTGAGTGGCGAGACTTCCTTTTGCTCTCCGGCAAAACTCAACTCACCGACATTTTTCGGTATTGGAGGCGGGCTTCTGCTGTGGATATTGGTGAACTCGTCCAAGTACCAGATGATTACACCGAGGAGGAAAAGAAGTCTGGAGAAGCCTGGAAAACCCTGTTGGCAGGTGGTAAGGGCTTTTAAACTGTTCTTTAGATTCAGCTGCATCAAATCTGCTACGTTCGCCTTTTAAGGTTCTTAACCCTAGGCTTGCAGCTGTGCATGCTGAATTAAAGGCTGCATAGGATGTAGATAAATCTCTTACTAGTCAGTAAAAATAAACCCTAACTTCATTGGGACCCAATTTGCGGTGCATAAAACCAGGGATGGTATCAGTTGTGCCCAGGTCTAAATCATTCCATTGCTACGTTCTGTCAACATCAACAAGCACCAGTCAGACTTCTTATCACCACCACCCCCCCTTCTGGTTCCTTTACCTTCCTGTCCAAATTCCAAGTGCCTGGAGGTGTTTATAAGTCAGCAGATTGTGTGATCTGACCTTCACGCATCGTGGCACGCCTAGGTGTCGCATAATGCACAGAGCGCGCAGAGACTGGGCCCGTCGTGTGTGCTGCACAAACATCCCTACGGCAACCCGAAATATTTCATAATTCGATGTGTTGTGAAACGTGTTTATCCACGCCCCATAATCCGGTCGCTCCACCTCCGACACAGGGTTCCCCTTTTCGCAGCATGTCGCCAGCCACGCGGATCCTCAACTCCCCGCTTATCCACACGGATATTTATCTTGGATTATCCTCACACCTAGGTATCAATGTTAGCGCATGTATGACTCATATATCTGAGGTATAAATACACACGCTCAAACCCCACACACGACACCAACGTGGTTGAGCTCGGAAGTAAACGGCTGTGTCCACATTCTCTCCGATCTTTTTTCTTCATCGCGGATATCAGGGAAACGTAATCGAGCCAGGGTTAATTCAGTGGCCCCAGCGTGGTTCAAGACCACATGCTGGGGCCCACAACAGCTGGATGGACGTCCTTTGTTGAACAGCACGAATCGGCTGATGCCATTCGAAGTTCACTTAACAGTTAGAAAACACTCAAATATAGAATGCTTCCATTCCCGAGACTCGGTCAGGCTTGAAGGCAAGTGTTTACAATCAAACCCAGGTGGCTTTCTCTGTTCCTGTTTCCATACAAAGTAGATTAACAGATAGCGGGGTCTATCAAATTAAAACCATCCCAATAGCCACATCTGGATTCGAGCTTAAGGCGAGACATTGGAATTTTGTTCTCATGTGTTTGGGGCGAAGAAATTTTTTCGCCCTGATTATCATTACTGTGCAAAGGTCTTGCTAAGGAATTGTCTTCGAAGCCTACAATGAGCAGTGCGGTGGACCTTGTCTCCAGGCCTCCAATCGAGAGTGCTTTAGCCCTGAAAACTGAAAATACCGCTGCCTGTCTGTCAGCCCTGACGCAGAACTTGAAGTTTCTGTCAAGCTCGGAGGAAGCTCACACGACAGCCTCGAGTGCTTGCTCAAAGGCAGTGGTAAAAGCACAACACAATGATTAAGACGCTAAGCCCATTACTCACGGACTCATCACGTGTTTAGCTACCATACACACGCGTGCAACGCTCCTTCCTGTGTAAAGCCCCTGTAGCAGTGGGCAGGCGACGTTACAACAATTAACAATAAGTCGGCTCTCTTGTGTGGACCTGTTTATAGGACATGTGCGATGGAAAAGGGATTCAAAACCATTTATTCGAGGTCTTAACACTGCTAAGTCACGTTGATGTGCCAACAAAGACGTGAGTGATTAATGACAGCTGTTGTCCAATAGAATTTGAGTGAACTAGTAAATGCCCAAGTACCTAGTACCTGAGTGGCCGGCTGAGTGACGTTGAGGCGTGGGAGTGGAGAACACGGCGACGGAATTTATGGATGTGAATCAACAAGATTCACTCCTCTACCAATGAAAGGCAACGGTAAGTGACGTATACCAATCAGCCTGCGGCAAACTTGTTCAAACAGACTTCGATTCATAAAGCATTGCCAGCAGCCATCACTTCAATTTTGATCTCACTTCTTCGTGTCAGATGGATTTTTGAATGGTTTTTCAGGCGCCTATGACTGTAATGCATCCTACCACTGCCTCAACTGGCTTATCTGACTACCCTGTACAAAGTTGTGATGTGCTAACGGCCTCAAGGACTCCAATTAATGATCACTTCTGCGTCGGATTGGTTAAAAGCTGAGGCAAATGTGATGTTTACTGTGACCGTATCAACCTTATGGGTGTAAAAGTACACTAATGTTCCATCAAAATCCACGGCCACTAACGCTAAAGGTCACTTCATCGCCTTAACCTGCACGGGTAGATTATTGAAAACAAACTTGTAGTTTGTGGCAATTTTGATGCAATTAACCGCTTTTTGAGCGGATGTGAATTTAGTGTTTCTGACACGAGAAGTCAACGTGTTAGGTGCATAACTTAAATTGGGCAAATTTTCAGTAATATTTATTTGATGCGAAAAAACAAAGAACAACGAATTTAATCGTAGAACAATCGTTCATCGGTTTCCATCACTGCGCCATTTGTCAGGTAACGTTCACATGCCATCGTGAAAAAAACTGTTAGGCTTCGAGGCATTGAAACCATCATCGACGAATTTGAAGTTTTTATCCACTGCATTGATCGGAACAGATGGTAATCAGAAGAGGGCCATGCCTGGTGAACATGCCGCGTATGGGAGAACTTCCCATCCCACGTTCAAGAGGGTCTTCCAGGTCACGTGAAGAACGTGACGTGGTCGAGCTGCTTCCTTGCTCAGTAAACGGCCTGTTCTGATTACGTTCCTGGCTCTGCTTGTTAAACTGTCGGCTGTAGCCTTCTGCAGTCACCGTCTGATCCGTTTCCAGGAGTTTGCAATAAAAAAAACGTTTGTACCAATAAGTACACGTTTCCTGAGGCATAGGGTCGGCACCAAGAACACTAAACACTGATTCCCGTGTACTAGAAGCATTTTTTCCCGTTGGAGCTTGTTTGAAATGCTGTGCCACTGAATTTGTTGTTTATCAATTGTCATCGTAAAATCTGCTGTTCTGAGAATTTATGTAACTCATGTAGACTTGACTTTTGGTGCTGTGAAACCTTTTTTCCGATCATTTAAAACCTCAAAAGACTGCAAAAATATTTTCTAATTTTATTATAATTCGTGGTAACGAAAAAAATCTGCACAAATTAAGTCGTGCACCTAATATCGCTTTGTTTCATGGACACAGGCATTGCAGGATGCGTTTCTCGAACGTCAACGGCGCCGCTGGACCGCATCAAGACGATCTATCAGGCACGCGGAGGTCGAGCGGCCTCAACCGGCCTCATCGGTTCATTCAAGCACATGCTGAAGGAGGGCGGAGTGATTTCCATGTGGCGTGGAAACGGAGTCAATTGCATCAAAATAGCGCCAGAGCAGGCCTTCCGCTTCCAGGCCTACGAGACCTACAAGAGAGTTCTCTTCAAGAAGGACGGTTCGAGCCAGCCCCTGGCACTACACGAGAAATTCACCGCCGGAGCGCTCGCTGGGGCGACCTCGCAGACCCTTGTGTACCCCATGGAGGTGAGTGAACCTCGGTTACCACGTGGTACCACATTTTTCAGGCCGTTTTTCGCATTTCTTCAATCCTTTTGCAAACCCAGGTGCTAAAATAGATCTGTTAATTCTAGACAAAAACAAATTTGACAGTAGATGTGGTCAAACGATGCTGTTGTGGGTCACAGCGTTGAATTTTGTTGATTACGCTAGCGTGATACCTAGAGATAATCTGGGATGAGTTGTCAGTTAAGCATTATGTCGAACAATGGAGTTAGTATAAGTTAACACGATTGACTACAGTACCTTTGACGAAGGCAGCTTAAATTCAGTTGCTAAATGCCAGCCAATAAGCACTTGGAAATCGCGTTTTGTGTGTACCTATCAAAGGGACTTGTAACCTGATCCTAATTCGAACCACGGGAGGTAGATTTCTCATCTGTCAGTCAGTTTGATCTACCACACACAAAAACGCTTGATTCAGCTCGTTAATTAGAGTTGCCTTCGGATCCAGAAAAACAGCTGCAGAAATAGTTATAACCTTTCGTGTCGCCTTCGTCTCACCATGCTGTACACCATTTCAAAAATAAGCCGTTTATAGGACAATCGTTGGAAATGTTGGACCAATTTCGCACTAAGTTGTAACGTTCATTTGTAACCGTTAGAAGGTGATTTTAGTGTAATTGATCTACTAATCCATGACTGATGAGTCATACTCTTTGTGTCAATTAATAATTTTTTGCAACTATCGCTTACGTATTACTATGAGGTTTTACCTTCAGCGAATTCTTTTTATGATCTGCAAGGTTTGAACTGATATTGCCAAATACCCAATTTTTTTAAAATTGTTTACTGATAAATGTGACCTTAGTGGTTTGTGGCACCTTAAGCGATCCACTTGAATCTGCTCTCTCTCTTTTTACGAAAACGGATTTGTGCAGTACCCATTTTGGTGAAATGAAGCGTCGATTATTTAAACAGTTTAAGTCCAGCTGAAATCGCCCCTCCATTGATGATACTCATTGGTGAAACAGCGGATTAGCGAATCAAAGCACCGTTCTAAAGGGCTGCAAAAAGAAGTGGGTTTCTGTGTTTTTATCGTTTTGCACACTTGCCTGCCCACATGTACCACTTCTGTGTTCGTTTCAGGTCTTGAAAACACGCATGTGCCTACGCAAGACAGGCCAGTACTCGTCCACGTTCGACTGCGCGCGCAAACTGTACTCCGAGCACGGAGTGTGGGTGTTCTACAGGGGGTACATCCCCAACCTGGTTGGGATCCTGCCGTACGCGGGCATCGACCTTGCCCTCTACGAGACCTTCAAGAACCTCTACGTGAAGGCGTTGGATCGGCGGAACGCTGACAAGGAGAAGGTCACCTCCCCGCCAGTCTACGTCTCGCTAACCGCCGGCGCCTCTTCGTCTGTCTGTGGCCAAATCGCAACCTACCCACTGGCGCTTATTAAAACAAAACTCCAGGCGGAGAGTGAAAAAGTAAGCTCGGTTGGTGTAATATTCGACACAAACCGAGGAATAATTTGGTTGTTGGTACAAAATAGTGCACCATTTTTTATAGACGACAGAAGCGTGCACTTGTAGTTGTGTTAATTAATATCTATTATGTATACTGTGAACTGATAATCATCCGGCTGCGTCACGAGCTTGTTTAAATTAGATTGTGTGCAAGTTAAACCTTCAAAATGAATACAGGAGCGAGTTTTCGCATTTCGGCAAACAATGTAACGTTTGCTTAGAGCGTGCTCCTTCTCTTAGTCGATTTAAAAGTGGTGACTTAAATCCAAGCGTCGAACTTTGCTCTGGACGACCTTCCGCGTTGATAGCGGCCTTATCAGTGATTAATGATTGAAAAGAATCTGCGGATTTCAACTGAGGAGACTGCAGGGAGACTAAATGTTGGCAGATCGGCTCTACACTCTGCCGTTTCAAGCAACTTTGATATGCTTCAAGACTCGATATGTGGGTTCCGCTGTCATTCCTGTCCTCACCCGCCATAAATCACGTCATAACTGGGGAATAAAAGTGGTTTGTGTGCAGCAGCACAGTAGGAAAAAGAAGCTTGATGTATGAAAACGAGGGCAGAATCTATGTCTCATCCAATAAGAGTTTTGCTATGTGTCTGATGGCGCAAATACAGAAGAATGGCCCTTCTCATTATCCGTGCCTTGTCCCTCACGATTTTCATCCGCCTCATTCACCGTGAAATGTTTTTTTTCGAAAAAAATGCTCTACTGAAAATTATGGACCTATTTCATGACATTCTTAAATGAGAACGATTTGGAATACTTGCAAAATAATTGGAGACAATCGTAAAAATAGTGGAAATTTCATTCGTGAATAATAAGTGCTTTGTGGATGAATTAATTTCAAACCAGGCATAGACTTGTACAATCACCCAATTGGAGGTACTCTACACATAAATAACTTTTATAGAACTAATTTTCAAACCGTTTGTCCACATTCCCAAAAGTAATTTAAACCCCGGGTCTTTGGCATGGTAAGAAGATCATCAATAACAGTCGTCTGTGGCTTCAGTGCAAGTTGTCGAGTCGCAGATTTCGATCAGAGTGACTTAATTTCACCAAGGTATCCCTGGTATTTCCCTGTGAACTCAGGACTGAACTTACAGCGTCTAAACAAATACTTTTGCCTGCATTATTAATATCCATTTTGTCGCTAGTTTTGATGTGTTCATTATGGAAACTAGGACCTCCGTGGGGTCGTGTCTATGACAGCTTGACGAATAGTGCATCTTTGGAGTAAGTTCGTGTAGATTCTCTTCTTCACGTACTGTCAGTCATGCGAAATACGAGTCAAGCTGAGCACTAGCCTGTAAATCACAAGAATTTTTAAAGATGGTTGACCTCGGTGACCACAGTCTTCAGACTTTAAACCCAAAATTCTCAACTTCGTAAAACCTAGTTTTAGAATGCTCGGTTTTGCCTTGGAAGTCATTTGTCGGATTTAGGAAAGGTTCGAAAATGTGAATTCTTGTCTGCTTCTAGTTTGAGTTCACGCAAGAGTCGTAAAATGGGCGGCCCTGGGTTCCAGGTTAATTGCTTACTGCTACTCCATCTTTGTTCCGTGGCTTTCCCCACTAAATGCGAGTCAATTTGCCTTAGATTTCGCTGAAGAAGCTGGTCCAACGCATTATCAAGCATGAGGGCATCGTTGGTCTCTACCGTGGCATGGGCGCCAACATGCTCAAGGTGATTCCTGCTGTCAGCATATCCTACGCTTGCTACGAGAAGGCCAGAGCCGTCCTGGGTATCTGAAACCCCCGTCGAATCCGAAGTTGCTTCGCTTTCTTTTGTTCTACTTTTACCGCATTCCCTTTGTATTTTAATCAGTTGATTAAACCTTCCCTTGTGACGTTTCCTTTGCACTGAACTTGGACAACTCACAGAAAACGAGCACAAGTGTTGGCCGTGAAATAGGCACAACTGTATCTTATTTTCTATTTAAAAAAAACTTTGCTTTGTCTACCTTCGTTTACAAGTGCTGAACTCCAAACAAGTGTGGTATTAAATGCTTTTTCTGATTGGCGTTGCTACAAGTGATTATGTTAAAATGACCTTAGCAATTATGATTACATTCGTCGATGATGACTTGACTGCCTTGATTCCCTAAAATTTCTTATGCGACGGCATTTGTACGGTACCTAAGAGGTAGTTTAAGGTCATGTAAAACAATGGACAGTATTTCCAAGATTAAATTCGAAGTTATCCATTTTTGTATGCTAAAATCTGTAAGTCATGCACGTGATAAATGCGAACGCTCTACATTAATTCCATATCGAATGTGGCTACATTAAGGGAAGTTAGAATCATCTATTGTAGTCAAAATTCCTCATACTTAATAACGCCTGAAGAATCCGTGGACAAGAAGGCGCGACCATCAATTCACTCATCGAGCAAAGTGTGTCAATGTGCGCACGTGCATGAGTTTGCCAACATAGTGGTTAAAAGTTCAGGGTGACTCGTAGAAACCAGTCAACTTGTGATAAATCTGTTCCTCTTCGCATCCATTTAGACACGTTTGCTGACTCTGTCTGCCGAAATAGTACCCACAATCTTGACTCAGTAACTGATGTCGTGAATCTGAGTAAAATGAGTGAAAATATATTGGGATGAGGTTCAGGAGGGGAGAGATCGCAGGTGTACCAACTCTTTACCACATAATCTGCTAAAAGATAGGCCTAATGTAAGTTGGATTCGTTTCGCCACTCGATTTTCTGCTGACCAGTTGATGACAGTCAAAGCCACAAGGAAACCTTGTGGAACAATCTTTATTACGATTTACACATCCGAAGCTATTGGCGGGGTTAATAGTTCGTGAACCGGAATGCTTAGCAGCTTAATCTGACCATTTGCAAGAGGTGATGTTGTTTTATATGTTCAGCATTATTCTGTACTTATAGTATAAAGTGCTATGCTTTATATACCCATTGTTTTAGTCCATTTTTCTTAATGTACAAGTAAGGACATTGTTTTCAGGTTTAGTGCCATAAAAATACCATGACAATTGCAAGCAAAATAAATAACTTAAATAGGTCTCTGCTTCCATTGAAACAGTGTACAGTAAATTATTATGAGTGGTATTTGGCAAACCGACGAAAAATGTTAGAGCGTTTGTAAAAGAGCGAACGTTGTAATATAAAAATTTCAAAGGGCTGCAGGGCCATCTACGAATTAGCAAAATAAACAAAAATTAATGCTATACTGTTATTTCCCATAAGACATAAGACTGCATGTAAATTTCGCATTGACGTCGTCGACAAGTATCTGTAACTCTAAATATATTTTGGAAGTATTACAGTATGTCCTTCTGCTTATAAATTGCAAATAAAGTTTGCAAAATAAGCAAGCATATGCTTTTTATAACAACAATTACTTTGCATTAAGCTGTCATGGATATAATTATGTTCATGTAAGGTTTTGTTATTTAAATCACCTCGTAACCAATGTCACCTAGCAGCTAAATTGACCGCCTTTTTTAGTTAATCGCGAGATGCGTGATAACTGATATTGTTAATTATGGTATGCCAAATCAAAGTTCGAGTAAAATAGTGCATTTAGAGAAAAATTGCCTTTCAGAGTGTCTCGAGCAAGTTATTATATCCGAATACCTAACCATTCGTTTCAACATACATGGATTGTCTGTCTGTTATTAGTGTTCCTGTCTTTAAGTTGTACAAAAAATAGGTTAAGGAAATTAAAAATAGTTTATATTTCCTTACTTTTGTGTAATGTAGCATAATGGCCAATCTTTTCATGTGGTTTCCTATAAGTTAAAGAGCAACTTTAGGCACAATTAATATTCATCATAGTATTTTTGAAATAATTAAGGCATTAAATATCACAACCATGACAATTTCTGTGCTGACATAGTCTGTTAATCGTTTAAATGCCTGAAACTGCTTGTAACAACCTAGATTTTGAAAGCATCAATGCTTAAATAATGTCCCGTCGAAACTTAAAAAACTCCAAATAATATATTTTTATGGGGCTACTTGGTGATATTTACAAAATGCAGTACCTTTTTTAGCCCAGGTTATCTTTTAAAAGCATCATGAGTATCTTGGAACATTTTTTTAAAGTATAAGCTTTCTTATCTCAATGGGGTTTCTTTACCCATGTGCTGATCTATTATTCCTCAATTTTTGTATAGCCACTTTCAAATGCTTCGCTTTATTTTTATCATTTATTAAGTGAATCAAATTTGTCATAGTTTTAACGCAGTTCACATAAGAGTATCGAAAATGGGATAATCTTAGTTTATTGGTGTTTTGAAACATACGGAACAATGTTTGAAAACTTTTTGATCTAGAAACTACTGGTATTGCTTAATACTTATGTCTAGTATTATGCTATCTTATCTTGTCAAATCTGACACAGCTGTACATTATTCTGACATATAAAGTTAGACCGATGACTATGACTATGCCCTAACATTTTTTAGCAGGATGACGTCCCAGAACCTTATACTGCGACTGAAGTTTCCAAATCAACCCTCCAAACAATAGTAGAAAAAAATGCTATCGATAATAATTCTATTGGGATTGAGCCCCTTCAACATCGTGAAGAGGATGACCTGGTCATGGAGACGTGTGAGGACGACGAACAAACTGCATGTCCACTTTCACAGTTCACTTCAGGTCGCGACGCAAATTTGGGTCCACCCACGCTTGTCGACAAATATGGCACATTGGTGTTGCCATGTCGCTTGGGAGAAGAGATTGAAGGGGAGGTCGACAATTTCGATGGCTACCTCAGAGACTACGATGACTGCAAACTAAAAGACATCCCACAAGATGACATTCCAAATATTTATGGTTCGGATGGCCAGGATTTGCCAGACGGTGCTTATGGAGAGCCCATCCTCTCCATAAGAGTGCCACAGAAGAAAGCAAAAAGACGAAAAAGGTGAATGTGTTTTTGAAAAAAACTCACAACTATCTCTTTGTAGATTGGACATTAATTTGATCAACTGTCGCTATGATTCAGGTAAGAGTTTTGTGTCTTCCTTAAGCTAATATTATATTTGACTACCTCGATTCTATGCGTTTTGGTACTCAACCATATTTGCACAAATTTAGTTTCGAATTGAAAACTAACCCATGCATATTTTGAGAGCAGTTTTAACTGGTTTTACTGTATCGGGTTTACATGATGATCAATCGTTTTTACTTTCAAACTTTATAACTAACAGCTAGGGGAAGTTGAGTATTTCCTTCTACATTACGTAAATTGTCCCTTACTTAGTTTGGTTAATTGTGAATTATTCTAACCAACCAGGCAGCTGAAGTTTGGTTTCCTTGTGCTAACATCGCGCCGAAAGGTTCATTAGGTCTTCTATTTGAATCTTTTGTACCAGTTAGACGCGTTTCCCAGAAGTTCGGATTCCGAGAAGTTGGTGACGATGAGGACTACAATCTCTACTGGACTGACCTCTCGGTCACAATTGAACGGGTAGTCTCAATGAAAAAGTGGCAGGTAATTTCCACCAGCCGTCTACCACATTTCCATCATAGCAGAGCAAAAATCACGAATTTACTTTTAATGTGAAGCATGCAATTAAAAATTGAGACAGGTTGATTTCGGAGTTCACCGTTTTTGTGATAAAATCACAAGCACTGTTTGAAAGGCAACGAGTAATTAAAAAGACAGTGGCTTCAAGAAGGGTGTAACAATAAGACACTGTTTTGTCTTTCCACATGAACGGGAAAAGGTGGACTTCATAGTTCATGATTAAAATTACTCAGGGTTGCCCTTTTTGCAGCATGTCACCAGCGGCGCGGATCCTTAGCTCCACCCTGATTAGTGCAAACGATTATCCCAGATTATCCTCACACCTAGGTTTCGATGTTAGTACATCTATGACTCACACATCGGAGGCATAAATACACACGTACAAACCAAACTGGCTGAGCTTTGAAGTAACCGATTGTGTCCACGTCCTCTCAGGCCCTGTTCTTCATCACGAGTATCAGGGAAGCGTAATCGGGTCAGGGTTAATTTAGTGGCCTCGGCGTGGTTTATAATCACATGCAGACCTTTGAGAATCACGTAGAGAGCTTCTTGTGTGTTTAGGATATAGTCAAAATTATGCCTTGCCAAAAAATTGTAGTGAGTCAACCTAACCAATGCTTTTTATGCCCTAGAAAATCAACCACTTTCCCGGAATGTCCGAAATTTGCCGAAAAGACGCCCTTGCCCGCAACATGAACCGCATGTTAAAGCTGTTTCCCAAAGAGTACAACATATTTCCCAAAACGTGGATACTTCCAGCTGAGTAAGTTCTCCACGAAGTTATACTGGCTTCTTTAAAATTCATCCTTTGTTCGACAGCTTCTGTCGCTATTCACAAATGATTCGTTGCCATAGTGCCCTAATGATGGATGATCAAATGCACGATTTCCGCAAAATGATAGGCTTAACTTCTGAAATGGTCGGCACTATGGCAGGAAGACGTGTACTGTCTACAAACGTAAATTGAACAAACTGAGAATATTTCTTTAGGCTCACGTTAATTACTTTCAATGTCAATAACTGTCTTTTAACTGCCGCAACGTGTGTCAGTATCGTATCTGTTAAAGACATGCAAACCTTTCGGCGCGTTAAATCATTACAAAGAAAGTGAAGCGATTAGTGACGCTAATGAGCTATTTCTTCATTCAAGACCGCTCTATCAACACCGTCAATTTTGGCAATCCACTTTAGAAGGTGCTTTCAGATGGCCTTTTGGTTTTTCTATTTCAATTCGCCTAAGAAGCTTGTTATCGTGTTGCTAAGAAGCCTAATTAAATTGACTTTAACTAGATTCTATTTCGCCTGATCAGTTTCCTTTACTGAACGCGATCCCGCTCGAATCAAAATCAACCTTTTAACTTATCTAAGTCAGTCTTTAAGAGTCAAGGACACTACGCCACCTTATTCACGAGGATGCCTGTCAAAATTAGTTGATGTGAGAGGGCAATAACTCTTTTGATTGGATGACGACAGAAGTAGACTAGAAGCTTAGTTGCAGAGAAAGCATCATGCATTTATTGAATTAGCTGCTTAAAAGTCGTGTTGCACTTCCGGTTGACGAAGATGACTCCATTCTTTTGCATAAAAATTTTCCAAACTTTTTAATCACGTCGCGGAAATCAAAAATCCTATTGTTGTTGTTGTTAAAAATGGTAAGCTTTAACTTAAAATGGTTGCTGGATGCGAATAAATCGTACACTAACACATACTTTGGACTTTAGCTGGGGCGACTTGCAGCAGTACGCCCGCCAGAAGAAAAATAGGACGTACATATTGAAGCCAGACACTGGGTGCCAAGGCAAGGGCATTTGGATTACCAAAACACCTCGAGAAATCAAGGCAACTGAAAACGTCATCTGCCAGACGTACATCAGTCGAGTAAGTGCAGGCAAATGTCAATTATTTTTGGCACGCCTTTGAACATGCTTCGCTGTGGATTTCGTTGAATTGGTGTTGAAGGAAATTCACTTTAAGCTGACCGATCCCCGGTGCAACCAGCTAGTGCTCACGTGAGGTAGATGCTTTTGGACGAAAGTGTTCTCCAACCGAGTTTACTAATATTAATGACTACCATTTCTGACAAACCCTAGAGTGCCTTTGCTACGCACTACCTTACAACCCTCTAGTTAACAGTTCCTACAAGATAGCAACAGCGGATACGACAGTTTATTAGCGTCCCGCCAGCCAAGTGAGCGGGCGACAAACGACCGGTAACAGTAACCAATGGACTAGGAATTAGTCATGGTCACCCTCAGAGCAGTAAACAGGCTTCACTCACGTGTGATCGCTAATAATCCGCTACAATCCCTTCTATCAAAACTTACAGAGTTCACACAGGACCGTACTGTAGGTCCCAACTCACGATCAGACTGGATGCCAGCTCTTTTCACACAACTAGCTTGTCTTCTTCAAATGTGACTGTGCTCTGGAGTTATTAATGCTCAAATGCGATGAATCAGTGGTGTTAATTAAGACCGAAATGTCAAACAAACAGCGGCAATAAACAGTATGCATTTGTTTGGTGCACAAGTAAGGTCCGCATTCAAGACTTTTGTCCCGAAAAAGTCTGTGAAACAGTAAATCTTCGTCACGAGTTGACAGTGAAGGCGGGTGCACGTGTTGTGGATTAAATGGAGATCATAAATTCAGTGAATTTTGACAGCCAGACACACTTGTACACGTAATTTTAAGCATTTACAGTTCTTTTCTTTATCTAGGCAGTCATGTCCAGCACAATTGTACTTCGACAAACTCATTAAGTTGCATTTTTGGATTGTCTAGCTAGAATATTGACCTTTTAAGGGACTTGACCTGATCTTGGGTTGACCCCTGATGAATGATCTTCTCAAGACCGTTTTACCACTTCGTGACAAAAGTGATTAGGCGAAATTTAGTGCCAATCTAACTTATCGCTTGGTTATGAAATGACCGAAATCGGCAGAAATGCAGGTTGATTGGATAAAAATGCACAACGGACACCACTAATCCGTAATAGCACAAATTCCTACGACAAATTTCAACAGTTTAGCGCGGACAAATTGTGGGAGAAATGTATTCGTATGTGCGATTGGCAACAGATGTATAGTGGTGTCAATATTCCGGCAGAATCCCGAGCTCTGACAACCTCGAAGCAGTGCATCGCTTTGATGCGTCTCAATTTGCATATCGCGACATTGTCCTGAAGTACACCAGCATGTGGACGGCTGGGTCGTATCTCTGTGTCGTCAGTGGTAAACGCTTCAAATTGTCGATTTACGCTGATCAGGCCTGAGAACCTCTCTGGTACTTGATAAGACCTTCTCATTTCACTTTTCTAACTAATTCCTAGTTTCTTCATTCCTCACGCCATCAACGGAAATACTTGAGCCTCATTATGCTTTTCCCTCTCTGCATTATTTTCATCTTAAACACCCGGATTCTCCGGAAGCGGTGCCCACCTTGTCGCCATTAATTTGTCACTTTGCAGATTAGGGATTTTTCATTTTCGTTTCCTCTAACTCCCAAAAACTGAGATGGGCGCTAATTTAGGCTGTGACTTGCATGAAATGGCTACAAAGGCGGCTTCTCCCTATTTCGCCAAGCCTTTTAATTTGTAGTCAATTTGTTCTGAAATTGTTTCCTTGACTTTAAGCAGTCTCTAACCACGACATTCCACAGATCAGTAGATGTTGCAACATCAAGTTTTTTTATTCATTAAGTAATGTTAGTTGCTCAGTTCAAAAGCAATATTTCCACCCAAAACGTCACCTGTGATGACCTTAATGTGTAATTTCATGACGAGCTTCAAGACCGCACTATTTTCATGATTTTATGTTCATTTCGTAGATAACCTACACAATGAAATAATTCATTTGCCATAGTTATCTTTCGAGTACTACGCAAATGCCCTTCTTGAAGACTACGCCTGTTTGGCAGTGCAGAAATAGAACCCATTGTAAACGGTTCACTGCAAGTTTAGCTTAAATGCTCGCTAAAGTCTTACGCGATGTTTGTCACATTTGATCACCATGGGCGTTTTTTGTGGTCGCCGACTGATCCGACAAACCATGCGTCCCGGTTAGCCCTTTTTAATAGACGGCTTCAAGTTCGACCTTCGACTCTACGTGCTGGTCACGTCAATAGTGCCGCTGCGAATCTTCGTCTTCAAGGACGGTCTGGCGCGTTTCACCACCCAACCCTATCGGGAGCCAACAGCTGCCAACGTGAGCAATGTCTTCATGCACCTCACCAACTACGCCATCCAGAAGCACTCGGACAAGTACGTCCGCGAGGATGAGGAAGCCGGCACGAAGAGACGCATCACCACAGTCAACTGTTGGCTCATCGAACACGGCTACGACGTCGACATGGTGAGTCCGCCTGATTCCCATTCATACGCTCCCCCCGTACACTCGACAGCCAATAGAAGTAAACGTTTATAGCCGCAAGTCTAGCCTTTTGTTGTCTCTAGGCGTTTAGAAATTCACTGATCGTGTCTATTGAAACTGTATCCATTTAGCATTGAGATCTCACGCCTGAACTCCTGTTCGTTAATATTTTTTTTTATTCCTACGACCCTCAATAGCACATTACGTTTGCATACATTACTAAAACACGGCACCTCGCAAAAAGAAAATGTTTTTTGTTCGCTAAATAACCGGTTGTGGCGCTGCATCGCAATCCTCTTTGTTTTCATGTGCCGTGGATGACAAAGGACAATGGGATCGTAAAGTTGCCCTGCCCATTGTTACAAATTTACGCCTAGTTTTTAGTTATTGTACATAGTTCCGGTGGCATGAGTAAAACTTTTGAATAACTGTTTACTTGTTGTGAGACCCTCAGTTTTACAAATCGCTGTTTGGTGATTCGTTGGTTCCCAAGCTCATATAATCCTCAATTTCAACAATTGGTGATTCGGTGGTTAACATGAACACCAGGTACAGGTGGGTAGAACCGTCTACCAAGTGGTTTGAATTAGAACAGAAAGCTCATCTCATTTCAATAAACTTCGACTTATTTCACAATTTTGCGGTATTCTACAGCATTAGATGGTTTTTTGCAGGATGGAAAGCAGTGTAAATTGCTCGTGAGCTTTAAAAGGTCAACTACCAAAAAGTAGCCCCCCTACAAAGCATTCCCCCGCAAAATGCACTTTTGCCGCGTCCAAATTCAGCACTAATTTTGCCCCCTTAGATATGGCACGATATCGACGATGTGATCATAAAGGTTCTCATGTCAGGGCTACCCGTGTTGAGACACAACTACAAAACCTGCTTTCCCAATCACGTGGAGACCTCTGCCTGCTTTGAAATACTCGGTTTCGACATCATGCTGGACCGCAGAATGAGGCCGTACGTCATTGAGGTAGGTCTCATTTGTACTTCCAAGCTTGTTTGTGTTTTGTGACAGATTTAAGTAGTGAGGGTGCATGTTCTAACCAACACTGATAATTCCACGCATGAAATGTTACACACATTCACTGCCACTGTTTAGAGCCCTTATCGAAAACAGTATTGAGCAAAGTCGAGACTTGCCAAACAAGTAGCACGCTTTCAACCCCACCCTGACCTGATACATGAAGAGAGACTGTCAGACCTTGTCTTGTGCAGACTGCGACGATTGGATCGTCTGCTTCAAGATGCCTCTCTAGAAGATCACTTTGAGGCTTTTTCGTGCCAGCTTAGGTCGTCCTTATTTGTTGAAAAACACATGATCAGGGCATGGTTCATCACCGAGTTACCGATTGGGTCAATTTTCTAAGTAAAACTAGTTGAATAACTACTTGGTTTCCTACAAGAACTGTAAAAAGAGCATCCGTGTTTACAACGGACTTTTGTAGATTTTACGTCAAGTCATAATTTAACACAGGTATTGGTCTGTGTGATTTTTCTCTGTTCCACTCTCATCAAGTCTCTAAAGTCACTTGAATTGCGCCTCGTTTCGGTGATTCTGGAATACTTTTTAACGGATAAGCTGACCAAGGCTAATCCCTGTTTTAAGGCCCTTTAATATTCCAAACCCGCAGTCAATTCATACTGCCATACGGTCCACTAGATGTACGCAATTTGGGAGTAACTAGGACTAAGCAATCTGGCTTTCCACAACCTTTTGACTGCCTTGGTGAGGGCTATTTAACCTTCCTTTTTCGTGTGCCATAACAACAAATTCGGAAACAAATCGTGCTGTAGGCGTATTTTCATGCACGCATCTCGGTGTATTGACGCCAGTAATTTGTAGGGCATTCATCTTATTTAGGTGAATCATTCACCGAGCTTCCATACTGACTCACAGCTGGACAAAGAAATCAAAGAAGCCCTCATCTGGGACACCCTGAAGCTGGCCAACTTCGACGCTGTTGATCGGCGGAAGTGCATTGAAGAGGACAAGCGGCGAATCCGTCAGCGCCTTCTCAGACGCACGCCTGGAAAGTGCACTAGGTTTGTCGTGGTTCCCTTGGTGTGCTACAGCTCACCATTGTGTCTACGTTTACGAAAAAAAAATTTCTGCTTACTTCTTAAAAATCCTCCAATTTTGAACTCGGAGATGCTGCTACGCCTCGGCCACATTCCGGCTCAAAAAAGAATCGCGGGAATCAACTCAGTACCTTGCATGAGCACGTTGCATAATCCACTAGCAATCAGCCACCCGATCCGCTATTATTGAATCAAAATATCACTGGACAGATTGAGCGTAGCATTTTATACTTTTGCACATTTCAGATCACCGAAGCTGTTGAAATGGTTCAAAATCGGTCTTAGTACATTGAGTTTTTGGGATTGTTTGTTTCCATTATCGACCTCCTGACCTGCCACAACCCGTAGTCTCCAAAGATACAGTGAATTGGGCTAGTTTATAAGAATTTAACAGTTAAAACAAGACATAATGGGAGGAAAGTTTAGGGTACTTGTAGTAGCGTTGCTTGAGCACTACCGTCCGCCTCAACCTGTGAAGAGGATGGAAAGACACGACGGAGAACATGAACGCTTACTAGTGCCACGCCAGCCAGGTGTTATTGTGTGCGTATGAATGCGTGTTCGTAACAGGCGAATGCTACCAGCAGCCAATAGAAAAGGGGCCAGCATACACGCATCACTCACGCGGGGTGGCCGGTTGCACAGGATGCAATTTCATCTTGATGCCGAGCCTCCAGTCTTGAATTATGAAAATGCGACTGTACCAACTTAATTGCTCTCGTAGGCATTCACACACGACGGGAGGGTCTTTCTCCAGGTCAACTGCCCCGCGCATTGAACGCCGATTCAGTGGCGTCAATTTAGTTGACAGGGCTTTGAACCAATCGTTGGTCAATTTAGTTTGAATCACACAATCATTCTACTAGTAATTTTCAAACTTCTCAACCATTCGCAAGCAAATGGGGAGATGTATATGCCAATTGGTTCCATTTTTTTTTGAAAGACTACATGCTTATTTTCAAACTGGAATTCCAGAACCACAAGGAACGCAGACAACATAGCTCACGTTTATCGAAATATACACAAAATTCCTCACTCTCCGCATTTCTTCTCCACAGAGAGGACATGAACGCGGAGATGGAAAAGTGGGCTGCCAAAGCCATGCAATACGAGGACGACCACTTGGGCAACTTCCGTCGAATCTACCCCTGCAAGGACCAGGACAAGTACGAAGAGTTCATCAATTCCACTGCCACGCTATTTACAGAAACTGCCTCATTCAAAGCGCGCTTCCAGCACTCCAAGTAAGAAGGCCTCCACACTCGACGGACACGTCGGTGCTTTTCATATTTCACTAGTTTATTCCCACGGCACACCTTCTACCAAACGAATATGGTGTACTTAGCTCCGATTTGAGCAAGACACCACTACCCAATTTCAAATTCTTACAGGATTTACTAAAATTAGTTGAATAATATCAACAACAACAACAAACTTGAGCCAATTATGCATTTACTCACTTTTAAATCATTTCCCATGCCACACAACTTCACGGACTATAGTTGCGTACAGATCAGGGTATGAAAAGCGTCGGTAGACTACCTATGGTTAAATTAAAAATTGGTGGATGTTTGACAAGGCATTGACCTAATGGCCTTCGTAATCCTTTGAAGGCAGTTGCGAGAGGAGATCCGTGAACGCAAGGACAAGTTGGAGACTCTGTACAAACCACGCACCAGTCGCCTTCGCCCTGAAAGCCCTGGTCGGCCTCCACTGGCCTCCACCGTGAAACGGCGTCCGTCGAAATGTGGATCTGCCACCACCGTCGTGGCCCAGACCACTCCCACTGCCGCCAAACCGAGCAGCGAGGACGCCAAGCCCGCGACCGAATCAGACCAGGGCAACAAGGAACCGGTGTACAATTCATTCGAGACTATACCTATCGACGAGTCGGAGGAGAACGAGCGGTGTATGGGGATGGAGAAGCGCGCGGTACTCCTGCGAAGCCTCGGCATAGTGGACGCTGTTTACAGACTCCTGAGTGGAACCCCGGGCGTTGAACCGATCAGCACGCTGCCTAAAAGAAGCAACGGCGACCACGAAAAGACCAAACCACATTCCCTCGCCAAACCAGTCGACCTCGTTCTTCCTGAGTGTCAGAATGCTTCGTCAAACAGTAAGTTCTAAGTAGTCTGGTGGAATCGGAGAAGCAAACTTGTAATGCGTAGCACTTGAGAAGGCCACTTATCGATACCCCTTTATTCGTAACCAGCTAGAAGCCTAACATTTTCACAAAAATTGAATTTCGCCTGACGTACAGGCCATCTAATGTTACACCACGTGATACTAACCCTGAAGTCCCAACTCCCACAGCAATGAACTCTCCTCATTAGTAAATTGATGCTGTAGGACATATCTGAGAATTGCTTGTCTGTGTGCAGATGATATCGTGTTGCTTATCGAGACTTCTCCTTTATGTGCAGACATGCGAATGAATTTCCAGTCGGCGAACGAACTTCGGAGAAACGGACTACTGCACAAGATGGTTCGTTTTTTTTCTCGATCCACGTAATGGCGAATTACGTGTTGTTGCACCATGCTTTGCGTCATGGCATAATTTAAATTAAAGTCGCCTTATTTTTCTACACACGTGTTTTATTTTTCACATGGGGACTGGATGTGATGGGACGCCTTTGACCTGGCTTGGCTAAGCACAGTCGAATTGCACAAACCAAACACACGCACAGTGCACCTTGCTGGCACTTGCTGTGGCTGTTTTCGGAGTGAGCAAATGTTGCTTAGGTCTGGGATTGAGAATGGCCAGTTTCCTAACCCCCAATTAACCTGCCGTCACCACTGAAGTGCGTTTGAGCACAACAATTGCCCTCTGCCACTCGTGATGTCTGTGTGAGGGATTTACTGTGGAGGCCATCAGTTCTCTCCGGTTTTGGCATAAAACCAGAAATCAAGTCGATATCAGTTTAATCAAAATGTACCTAGAGTAGGGTCAAGTGTTCAGCGTAGATGCAACTTTGTAAAAAGAAACTGGCAGGATGTACAGTTCAAGTAAACAGAGTTGAACAAGGGAATGATTAACAGGGGTAAGGTAAGGTTTTCTCTAAATCCAAAAGATCACACAATGACGTTGGGCTAGGTCGGTTAAGGTCTGCTGGGTGGGAAGTTAAAAAAGCCTTCCAAATGAGCTGGCTCCGCTCAAATACAAGCCGTATTACGATTGGCTGATTTTGAAGGCACCATGTGGTGTGAAATCAACTGGTCAACTGGACGTCAATTGGTTAGTTCCTAGTCACATCCTTAAGATGCTGTGGCTCTGCTGTAAATCTTCCACATTTTCAGAGACCACGGTCACACGCTTAGCTCGAAGGCTCCAAGAAAACTTTATATGTGCCTCATCCAGCAAAACCCAAACCCTAACCTCCCGCTTCCGTTAGCACCATGAAAACCGGAAATACTTATAAAAATGCTACAGGGTGTCTCTGTACCCTTTTAGAGAGGGGTGCACGATGGCGAAAACGTGAGTTCCGTTCAACACCACGCGTCACTGGGGAAAAACAGGCATGAAGAGGACCTCTTTTGTCTTCCTTACAGAATCAATCAAACAATTCACGCTCAAGCGCCCCAGCCAAGCCAGCCAGGCACACAATGCCCGTGGCGATCACCGAGTTCGTGATGCCCGGCAATCTGCCTGGTCTGGGAATGAACTACGCACACCCCAGACCAAACTACGAGCCCACAATGGACCCCCGGGCTAAGGGGCCTCCCGCTGGGTCGTGCTCCCTCCCGCCCGGGATGCCCCTCGCCTCGTTGGGCGTCAACATCCGCGAGGCCCAGCTGAACACGTCCGCGGTGCGGGGACAGAGTGTTCCACGGCGAAGGACGGTGCAAACCAACGCAACCCGCTCGCTGTCCTACGCAGCCGGGTGGCACAGGGGTCAGGAGAACGGCATCGCGCCTATCTTGGGCTGTGGGTTCGGTCAGCATCGACAGGCCCTCCTCTCCATCAACGACCGGTGCGCCCAGGTGCGTGGAGGCAGTCCGTGTCGCAAGAGCTTTGGTAGGTGTGTCTTAGGTAAATCTGTCAGTGAAACCCAACCGCATTAAAATGCAACTTTACGCCTCACAGTTGGTAGTTCGGTTTGGACTGCATGTCATGTCACCAGAGTGAACCCACTAGTCTGACTTGGAAGAGCCTTCGAAAGCTCCCTCCGCCGGCATTCCACCTGCGTTGTCGAATTAAAGTATAATTAGTCTACAGCAATAAAGACTAACTTAAATCTTTTGGTTAGTTAAACCGAGAATTTAAAATCACCACAGGAGCGGATTCGATGACAGAGACAGAATTGTATCTGGTCAAAGTTATGTTATGTGTCTGTTCGAGAAGGATTACGGAAGGATAATTTTGTTTGAGTTTCCTTCACGCTCGTTTAACTGATGAAACCCAAGCAAAACGGACAAATTTGGTGAATCCAAAAGACATCGTCTTTCACCATGGCAAAGTTAGATCACATGTCGCTCAATAGACACTTCCAACACCCACCGGGTTCGCATGAAATTTGATCATTCACGTTCTAAATTAGCGTCATCTGCAGAAAACGTTTTCTATTGAACAAGTCTTTCTGTGGGACTAAGCCACTTGAAGACGTGCTAAATTACATTTGGTTTAACAGAGACACAAACTTGCATAATCCTTCAGTAGACGAATATATTTCTGTTAATTAGTCACACCAAAATGACACACAGTTTTGTGCACTCGTGGCCCGATTTCAGCTCCTATTGTCCAACTTAATGTAGAACATTTTGGAGATGGATACGCCTGTGTTGTGGCACACTTTATTTGAAATTTGAGATGAAATGCAATACGAGGGACTCAAATATTTGTTAGGGGAATTCAGTTGGTTTGACTAAATCCATATTCTTCTTTTAACAGCTCACCATCAATTTTCACACGAGTTCCTCATAGAGTAGCATTTTGCGGGTAAGTTAAACCCACTAATCCCGGTTTTTGGGGGAAGTTTACGTTTGTTTTGTTGTTTTTTGTTTCGTGTCCACTCCACCATGTACTTTGGGGCTTAAGCGCACCTTTGTTGATGGCACATTTTTTGTTTAGAAATTTCTAACATTCCACCTCCCGGAAATCGAACCTTGGTGGATAAGTCCGGCCGATCTGTTTCCTTAAAGACCGCCACACTGTACTCGAGACTGATTGACGGCACCAGCAGGTTCAACGACAGCACAAGAACCCGCCGTTCTTCGCCCCCACGAGCTCTGCAAGATGCCATCAGCGTCAAACAGTTGCGCGTCAATCCCGGTGGCAGCGCACTGCACAGTCGCGGTGCGACGCTGCCACACAACTTCCAACTGCAGTTCCTAAAGTGAACCCTGCCGCCCTATGGCAGAATCCTCCTTCCTCATCTGCTTCGTGTAATGCTTTGCTAATAGGCCTGACACAACTCCGCTCTTTTCGTTTTCTTACTGAACTCGAGGTGACATCACGCAAAACCCCCCAGACATTGACGGCGTCAACGCGCGTAAAGACGACTACTTGGAGATCGAAAGTCGACTGAGCTCCCTATTGTTGCTTCAACAAAAAAACTCTTTTTCACGATTTCACGTAGGTAACGCTGGAATTTTACGATTAATATGGCTTGGGTTGATCATAGGAAATAAATCAATTTTGGCGGGATGGCAACGCCGATTTGTCACTAAGGTTTGTTGAGAGGATCACGCCGGGGTCACCGATTCTTGAAGGTCTCGACGTGTGGCCTTGAACCACAGCGGAGGGGGGGCCACGGTGTAGTATCGGGCCCTAATACCGGAGACAACCATTTGCTAGAAAGTTGTGTGGTTGTCGTGTGTGTGACTAATGCGGTTGTTGACCCATGCAGTCCAGATGGACTTACAAAAGTACAAATGGCCAGCTGAATGAAACGGGAGGTGGGCGTAGTACATGCACATGGCTGTGAAAACAGACGATCTCACGTGACTGACGGACAAGCTGTGAAAAAGGGTCGGTGTATTGGTGGATGCGACGGCATAGATTGAATCAACACGATTCTGCATTGGTACACGACGATTGCAATCCACTCCAACGAGTTTACCAATCCGCAACAGCAGCAATACTGGGCTAGCTATTCAATTTAGTACCACGGCTATCAAAGCTGCACTTTCTTTGTGTTGGTGGACTTTGAAACCCGGAGGTTTCTTAAAAAAGAATGTACTGGCAAAGTGGAGACAATCAAACCATGAGAATACAGGCTCAGAGTTAATAACAAGCACATTCGTTTCCCATTTTCATGGAAGGCTTATGGCTAGCAAGTGGAAAGGGCAACAATCCACGAAAAAACTGCGAATGCTGCAAATTAAAATAAACTTGAGCAACACATGAGTGTTTGGGAAGTGTGGTTGAGAAAAAAATATCCGGTGCTAGGAAGGAATGACAGGAATGAAAATTCACAAATTCTATTGCCAAAAGTGAAAAAATTATTCAGTTTGTCGTAACTTTCACCTGCGAGTCGTGTCCGTCAGTTGAGAACTGACTTAAATTCAATTGCTATCAGTGGTCCCCAGTCTCAGCTGCGCGAAGTAAAATTTAACATGACATTTTTTTAACTACAAAAATAGGAAATAACGCTTTTAACAATCACACAGAGTTATCGTATTCATGGAGATGACGTTTATTATAGATGCATGTGGTGTTAGAGACTCCTAGAATGCGTAATTTGATCCGACCTGCCGTCTCAAAAGTGAATAATTTAGGAAACTGAAAATTACCTGAATCACGGGTATTTGCAATTTGGTAAGACTAGGGCTTGTGAAGGTGAATAATGTTTTACACAACAAATTAGCGGAGATGGGAGTTGGATTCTGGACACATGTGGGTGTAGGGACTCTGGACCAAGTAAGGTGATCAAGTCATCGAGACAGAAAGGGAACTGAGGTGGTCAGCACAAAGCAGAAGCGTTTTACGATGAAAATACCACGCCACATTACAAATAAGTATGCAACGACTGACCTGATGGTCGTTAGCCGACACGATTCATTACAGGACTAAACCTGAGGAAGTGACAGTATGAATAAATACACCAGGATTCCTCAGAGTTACACCCACCCACATTAGAACCACACGTAAGGATTCGTTGGATAAAAGTGCAAGTAGTTGGTCTATTTAGGCATTTCAAACAATGCTACACGCACAGTTGTTTTTCAACAACCCTTTGTAACCGTGCAAACAAGGTCGAGGTCATTCGAAGAAACACATTGTGCCCATCTTTGCGGCAGAAGTTCATCTTTGAAAGTTCAGGCAGCAAGCGTGACAACTGGCGCTTCTGTAACTCGCCAAGGACCAATGCGAGTTTGTCTTTCGATGTTGGCGGACTGAAGGCCCACTTACGAATTGCTGAGGCCAAGAGAACAGCGAATTCAACAGGACTCGAACCAACAGCGCACGCCTCGGGCACAAAGACACGCGGCGATGTCTGTTTGAGGTGGAGGGAGGGGAGAAAAATTCCATGAAAACACGCAGCCAATGCAAGTCGAAATGTGCAACGACCGTTACCTGTTCGCTATCAACGTCTTTTGCTGGGTTTGCCACGAGATTTTTCTGGAACCAGTCGAGAATGAATGATAGAGCATCCATTCCGAATAGGGACATGGTGGCTGCCAGAAATGGAGGCAGAATAACCGGCGGCAGAGGCTTTTGTGGGAGGTGGTCCGATTTCGGCAACAATTTGTGGGCTGTTTCAGCGGCTAACGAAAGAACGTCATCATCGGTCTCCAGAACCAGACTGGATAAGACAGCCGCGAACACATTGAAGTGTCCTCTGATGTCTGCGTTGGAAAAGGCTTTGAATGAAGTCAGTAAAAGTCGGCGAATTCGCGCCTTACCTGTTTTATGAGTAAGCAAAAGATTGACTGCTAAGAGAGCCTCGGCTCGGGTAGACCAGTGACAAGAGGAGCGTGTTGGGTCGATGTACTCGGAGAGAAGGTCGATGGTGTGTTCGTCGGCTGGTGAGAGTGCCGCGTACACGGTAAGAAGAGGCGCGACATGGGTGGAAACGCCGCGCTCGGAGGCAACCAGCTGACTGCACCGGGGTGACAGCTGGTTGCACGTGACCAGGTCCTCGGGTGAAGTGGTGGCTACGTAAGCGAGCAGCTGTGCGGCATGCAAGCCTACCATCGAGTGGGGCTGGCACGAGCGCGTCAGGGAAGCGACAAGTTCATCCCAAAGCCGCGAAGTAAACGCCCCCACATCGGGGCACGGCCCGCGGTGCTGGAAGCAGAAGGGCGACGTTGAAACGTCGGCAAGTAGGTTGACAATTTCTTCGTACCACAGCAGGCGCCGACACTTGAGCAAATCGGTACTTTTGTCTGTGATGTGCTTCACCACAAGTCCTAGCGCGACACGCTTCAACTATAAAAAAGAATGTTTAATTATCGATGGGACTCCTTTCAGTTGGTTGGATAGATTTGGCTAAATTACCTCAGCATTACTTCCAATCAACGAGTCCTGCATAAATTCTCTCAAGGTTGGGTTGTGCGATTTAAGCGTGCCCTGGAATTTGACGAGAAGAGCCATGCTGGACACATCGAGAGCGCCCGGGGACGAGGAATGGGATGCCAGCAGTTCTGTTTGGCCAATCGGCAGTGTCTCCGGTGAGTCGAAGGCAATGAAGCAAGCCAAACAGGCTTGTCTAACAAGCGGGCAAAACCGATTGGGTGGGGATTTGAGACACAACGACGCCAGGGCGGAGAGAATGGACGACGATTCATCGAGGCACTCACGATACGGGCTGTTTTCGATTGCATTCCTATTGCAGCCCGGCCAATACTCACTTTTGAGAACCTCCAAGAGCTAAGGGGGAAGCATTGACGTATGAAAAGCCAGTGAAATTTGACACAGAGGTTACCAAGAATCACGCCTGCCCGGCTTTCAAAGGAAATGGTGAAAATGCGAGAGAAGGAGAGAAGAGTGTACACACACGTGGCTACACTCTACAAAAGACGATGGCCAATCACAAAGCTGGCTGAGCAACCAATCAGGAAGCAGATCTCCATTGAACCAATCAGCACATGCGAATCCGCACCTAAACTAGACCAACAAGAAGTGCATTTGCAAAACGCAGGGATAAGGCGGATTAACGAACCAGGAGAAGCATGCCGTGGACGAGGTTAACCCGAAGACACGGAGACCCAGTGGCCGTGAAGTATGGAGATACTGTCGCAAGAAGATTGCGCGCAAGACCCGGCAGACAGGCAGGTTTCAGGAGCGCAATCAGGGCCTTGGCAGCCAATAGTCGGATTCGAATATCCGCAGCCCCCACACACCTGGCAATCGAGAAAACCATCACAAAAGCCCAAATCGTCATCGTAATGAACACACTCCACCACACTTACTTAAAAACTAGCGGCACAAAGGCCCGCACCACGGTACCGTCGGTTGTGGCCAGTTGGATCGGAGGCAGGAAGCGCTTCAGGAGGTTCAAAAGTGCGAATAATTTTGTCTTACCGATGGTAGGCGAGCTGAAATGAGAGACGAAAGGCAATTCACTACGCGCAGATGTTGACAACGTGTCACCGAATGGTGAGGTCTTACCGCAGTCCACCGATCGCCTCTTCGAGTTCCTTGAGGATAAAATCGCGCATCAGCGGGAACTTGGAGAAGAACACAGAAGAGGCCATCCTGAAATGCCAAAACAAACGCGAACAATGAAAACCTAAATTGAGAGGAGGGGGGGCAAATTAACACCGAAGGGTGATGTTGATACCTGTTTTTCTTGCTCTCACAGTCCCGTGTTCGATTGACCCCGAAGATGCGCTCCATCATGGCGCTGTAGAGCATCAGCGCGGCATTGCGTACCTGCAAGGATAAATTCAAGCCCACGCAGTGCTCAGACTAGACGCACCAGACTGTCAAATAGATCACTTCCACGGAAAACGAGGTTTGGTTGCAGAAGCCACCGAAGTAAACCCGACACACATTATAAGGCTAGGCAAAAAGTAGCATCGCGAAGTATTACCATCCAGTAGGACGAGTCGAAACCCTCGAAGGCGCAGATGAGAACCGCCTCGAGGTGGGGCGTCATGTTGGGTCCGATTGCAGCATCGCGAACGAGCATCCGCAGCACGTTCAGGGAGTGGAGGTGCCGCTAGAGGGAGGAAAGACGCTCGATAGCTCCGTTCTGGCAAATAAATAAAATCCGCTAGAGTTCTAACAATTCCCAGCACCAAAACGAAGGAGAATGGTGCATGAAGGGCTCCTCCTCTTCATGGGGTTATTGAGGAACCCGGCATGTTGTCTTGAACCACGCCGGGGCCACTGCGACAATCTACGCCGAATACTTTACCCTGTGTTCCCGCGAAGATGAAGAAGACCGGAGTGGAGAAGGCACGACCGTTTACTAGACCGCTCAACCAGGTTGTGTCGTGTACAATCACGGTTCAGTGGACATGTACGACAATAAACACAGGTGTCTGTGAGGTCACATGACTAAAACGGGTAGTGGTGGGACATGCAGAGTGGCTAATGAGCCAGTGGCCTCACGTGACTGACGGGCAGGTAGTGAAAAGGGGGAACGTGTGCTCGAAGCTGCGATGACTGGGTTATTGGACCTGAATCAACACGAATCCCTACAAGATCAACTCAACGTCAGACCAACTTCCCCTAAAGGTCGATTTTAATCAGAAGGCCAGGTATTCTGGTAAGAAAAATAGTTTTAGTGGATGGTCAGTGATGCAGAGCCGCGACTGTTTAGGAGTTCGTAGCGGTGGCTCGGCCGGCTTTATTTACGCCAACGCAGCGAACAAACTACCAGAAAGAGCGTGTACAAGTATTCGAGATGGCGGCCTGGGCTTCACATGGAGTTGTATCTACGAGCTTCCTCTTTGAATCACCAAAAGTTTCCAAGCAGAGAAAATTATGCTTAGACGCAGGTGGCCCTTGGAGTCGCTCAACACACCAACGCCACATTAACTTCCAATAAACAAAACGCACAAAAATAAGGACGTGCTTGCTTTTTCGAAATGCCTGACCACGCAAATAAAAATGCCCGGGCTTGATCCTGATATGGAAGTCAGAGGGGGTCAGCGCGATCCAAGAGAAGCAATCACCTGATTTCACTAGCCGGCACATTCGAGGAAATGGTGCTCTTGCCAAAACAGGCCGATTCGGACGCCGGACCAAATAATCGCCTCATGTGATGTGACAATTACAAAGACCCACCTCGGCAAGTGGAAGGTTCGCCTGGTGCTTACACGCTGGCGACTCCGTTGTGGCTTCAGCACCGCGACGCGCCACAGCGAGGAGCGCGTTGGTCGTTTGGCTCAGGAGGTCCGCCAGCTTGCCGGCATTGCATAGCACCACCAGCAGTGCCTGAAAAGCGTCAAGGTATTACGTGGCGGAAAATTTTGTGTTGAAGGCGCTACTCATGCAGACAGCAGCAGCAAGTGGGAAGCTAGAATCACGGTCGAAGTGGTCTTGCACCGCCAGCACCCACTTAGACGCAAGACGATCGATACGACGAGGTCACTAGTGGGCTCCTGGGAACCGTGATCAAGGTTGATTACCTGGACAAAGAAGGGAAGACCCGCGGAACGACGCGTGGGGCAGTAGGGCGACGAATCAGCGTCTCGGAGATACTTCAGCGGAAGGCGGCCGGTCGCCGAGGTGACTGGAAGAATGGACGTATCTGTCAGGTCGTTTATGACAACACTCAACCATTGCTCGGGCCACTTGCAGAGGTCTTCTGGGTGCTGAACACTTGAAGAAAAAAAAGACGGGAATTGGAATGGAAAATTGGAAAAAGCGGTGCATCCAGGGCAGGCGAGTGAATGCCTACCTCAGGAGGATTTCGCAGAACGACTGAAATCCCGTCGCGGTCAGTTCAAAGGCGCCGGGATGTCTGGAACGAATTAGCTGGCTGATGAAAAAGTCGGCCATTTGTTCGAGCTGAAGGCAAACACAAGTAAAAAAGTGTAACATGAGAACGCTGGAATGTCTTCAGCCCACTTCAGCCCCCAATTGGCCAAAGAGGACTTTGCAATCTGGACTGAAAACTGGAAAAAAGTGTACTCTCAAACGGCTCTCATTTCTCAAAACCGCGTAAGTTGTGTGCAGCACGCACCGAAGCAGCGTCGCTTTGCGGTGGAAAGATACCACAACCACTTACCTGGTGGGTGTAGATTTGTGGGTCGGGTGTGAGGAGACCGCGTCGAGTGAGGCTGCCGCCCAAGAGAAGGGCGACTTCACGCACTGAACGCCAGCAGTTCACCACCAGGTGCTCGGGCCGCGCGGCCACCTTGCGCAGGACCTCCGCGTCGACATCGCCGGCGTCACCGCCCAGCAACGAGGCCAGGTCAGACACCGCCTGGTCGCCAGCCCCGCTTGGGATAACCTGGTGAGATGTGCAAATAGTGTGGTTGTAAATTGCTTAGTCCGGTTCTAATGATTAGAAGAGTTTTTCGGGGTGTCGGTGTGCGGTAAGTCGCTGTGTTCCTTTTTCGCCGCTCTTTCTCTCTGTGTGTAGGCAGGCAGGCGGGCTGGTGGCTTCAGTGTTTACTAGTGGGCTCTTACACCAACTAGGCAGTTGCTTGATGTGCCTCGACGTCTCAAGAACGCAGCGCTCTCGTTCAAACGTATTCGATGCATGACTTAATTTGCACCGATTTTCCGCAAATTTACTTTATTCGAAAATTGAGAACAACGAACTTAGCCTTGAAAATAATGTCCATCGTCTTCCATGACCCTGCGACATAACTCAGGCAACGTACGAATGCCGTCGCAAAAGAAACTTGCAGTAAAGTCAGCCTCGACGACAACTTTACAAACATCGTCTCCAACGGGTCAGGAATATGTTGAGTGTGGGAGAACCTCCCATTCCAAGTTCAAGAAGGTCTTCTGAGTTGTGCGAGCAACGTGAGTTGGTCTAGCGTTGTCATGCAGCAGCAGCAGCATCATTATGACTTGCATACTTCGTTGCCTGCTAACTGGCCTTTCCTGATCAGTTTCTTCTCCCAGTTTGTTCAATTGTCGACTGTAGCGTCCCGCAGTCACCGTCTGATGACCAGTTTCCAGGAGTTCGTAATAAAGTACACCCTTCACGTTCCACCAGATACCCAGGAGAACCTTCTTCAAGTTGCTCTCCTGTTTCGGCGTCGGTGCACTACTGCGTTGGACGGGTTCTACTCGCGATACCTTTCTACATTTGGGACTCTCGTACAAAAATGTCCACTTTTCATCGCACGTCACAATTTTTCACATGAAATCCTTTTTTGTTGCCGTCGGGCAAGCAGTGATAGGCATGCGTTCATAGGTTGACCAACATTGATCTGGGTTGTGTTCGGTCAACACATGTGGGGGGACCCAGCTTCGAAGATGTTGAATTTTTCCTATCTGGCGGTGTAAACTCTTGGAAGTGGCTGCTGCAAGCTCTATTTGCGTTTGCGTTGAGTCTTTATCCAGCAGACCCTGCAATTTCGCATCTTCAGATTTTTGAGGCTACTGTTTTCACCACTTTCAAAACTTTTGAACTAATAGTTGCACATTTCAAAAACACAATGTGTCGACAAAATCTGCACAAATTAGATTATTTCGTGATCGCAGACTTACCTAGAAGTGGAATCGGTTCGACCGCCGCTTCACCCTACCTGAGGGACGTTGCCGAAACCCGTCTGCCTTACTTCCAGACTTAGAGTCTTGCAGTGTTTGAAGGCGAACGAACCCCAAGTGATGGGGCAACCTACTCTCTAAGTCAATTAATTTCAGCATAACGGTACGCCAGCACATTCATTACAAACAAGTAAGATGTCTGATAAACGCTGAAGGTAGGTCCGCACATCAGTTGGTATGTGGGTGACTGCAGGCGATGTAACGGTGCGGCACTTTTGGCGTAATTTGGCAACGTCAGTTACTGAGTCACAGTGGAGAGGAGACTCGTACCTTCGTGGTGCGTTCATCATCACCAGCCATTACGAGAATGCCTTCCGGAGACGAGTGGAAAATGACGGCGGAGCAAACACGTGCGATGCGCAGCGCAATGCTCAACAGGCGACAGCAAACAGACGTTGGGCGAGAAGGCGCGCTCTCAAAGAACGACCTAAAGGGAACACGAGGGCGTTAGAGGCAGCGGTTACGGGCACTACCGACGGAGTGTGGGGCTTACTCCCAGGGCACAAGAGCCTCCAGGCTATCCGGTTCCGCGAAATTGGCATCAAGCAGCTCGCGGAGTGGCATGAGCAGGGCGTAGAAGGGTCCGGTGACAGACACCACCAACAGTCCGCCCTTGCCGCCCTCGGCGACGTCCAGCTGCGATTCGAGACCGTCCAGGAGGTAGTGGATGGTCGCCAGCATCCGTTGTGGCATCGGCAGATCGAGAAGACTTGCGGGAAGGCGGTGATGGCAGGGGTTTGGCGGTGACGGAGCCCCAAGGAGACTGCGCAGCAAGTGGCCAGCGACCACGTTCACATCCGGCTGTGGACTCGCTGCCACCTTGGTCAAAGTCACCGTCCACAGCTCCTCCAGCGAGGCAGGATCCTTAAACACAACAACAGTAACATTTCGATGGTAGTTTGAAGGATTACTAGCTCATAACGATGACTAATTCACCGCCCAGCGAAAAGCAGTGTTTATTACTAGGTGCATGACTTAATTTCTACTGATTTTTCCCTCAAGCTTAAAATTATATTTAGAACAGATATATGTTCTCGGTCGTTTGAGGTTTCGAAGGGATTGGATGCACCGTTCAGAACACCGAACGAAAAGTCTACGTGAATTACATATCCTCTCAGAATTGCGGAGTTTACGGTGGCAACTCGTGAACAGCACATTCGATGGCACTGCATTTTATACGAACTCCAGCGAGGAAAAATGCGCCTACAGCACGGGAATCAATTTGTAGTGTTTTTGGTGCCGACGTTGTGTCGAACGAAGCGTGTAGTTATTGGTACACACGTTTTTACTACGAACTAAGGGGAAAAAGATCGTCAGACGGTGAAGGTGGAAGGCTACAGGTGGCAATCAGACATACTGAGCGAAGAACTTGATCAGAACAGGGCAGTTAGTAGGCAAGGAAGCAGACAGGTGGTTCTACCATTGCTGCATGACAACGCTCGACCACTTCACGTTGTTCACACGACTCAGAAGAGCCCCTTGAACTTGGGATTGGGAATTCCCCCACACGCGTCACATTCACCAGACGTTGCCCCCTCCGACTACCATTTGTTGCTGTCAATGCAACACTTCAAAACGCTGTAGACGATGTGGGTAAATTCGGAGTGGAGAATGACTTGTTTGCCTCGAAGCCTGCAAGTTTCTTTCGCGACGGCTATCGTACTTTGCCTGAGAGATGGCACAATGTCATGGAAAACGATGGATAATATTTCCAAGATTAAGTTCATCTTTCGCTTTTTGTGTACCAAATAAACTTGCTGAGAAATCCCTAAAAATTAAGACATAAACCTAAAGGTAAAATCAAGACCATGAGGAGTAGTGTGTGAAGCACATGGACGCAGACATTTGAGTGCTTTTGCAACTCAGAAGAATGGCCCTACACCGTCCAACGAGCTAAGGTTGAAATGGACAGAGGTTTTGTAAGGTTAGGTGGGGGGAGGTGGTGACCCAGGAATGTCAACAACCCAGAGACGCACCACAAATTCGAGGAGGTTCAAGGCACGAAGCAGCCTGAGAGCGTTCTTCCTGTCCTCCGAGTAACCGCTCCAGAGGCCGGCTGTGAGGAAGACGAAGAGTTTTTCGGCCGAGGTGTCGTCGCCTTCCGCATCACCGCAGCCACCAGTCAGGTCCTTCACAGCTTTGCACAGCATTGCGAGGGGCTTGGGCAGGTCTGGGTAAAGCGCAGACAGGTCGGATAAGACTACCCCAAACTGCTTCAGACGTGTACGATCTTGTGTGCGCGTCTCTAGTCTACTCAGCCGTGTCGGGTGTCTGCGTGGTCCCGATGTGATCACGGGGCTCGACCCAGTCTGATATCAATCGATTTTGTCTACTAAACGAGCCAATATATCTCGAAAGTCGAAAAAAGGCATAACTGTCTCACCACTGTCCTCCGACAACGCCCCTACGAGCGAGCACAGAAAGGCGAGAGCGTTTGTCACGCGCAGCGGAACGCCGGCTGGATGGAGGTGACGAAGAATTGCCGTGAAGGCCCGCGTGAACACCTCCTGAAAGAGTGAGGATCCGTAGTGAGCACAGAAGCCACAGCTAGAAATACTTTGAAATCTGGGAATAAGGACTAAACTGTGTACCGCGAGTGTGCTGACTATTTCCAGGCGTTTCTGCAAGTGCTTCTCGCGTCGAAGAAATGAAAGAAGGTGCGAAGACACCTAGGAGGGTTAAAATGAGTCAAAAGGCTGTAGATTGGCCTTAAAAAAAGAGCTTGTTAACAAGCCAACGTACCCGAGAAATGGCGCCGCACAGTCGACTGCGTGCGCCCTGGTCGGAGACGCTAGCGCCGATGTCAACGACTTCCACAAACAGATGCATCAAGTCAGCATCGCCGAGACCGGCTTGGCACAGCAGCAGCTCGAACACACCAATCGACTGCTGACGGAGCTAGAGGGAAATAAGGCCACTTACATAACATCAGTAGACATAAAGATAAAAGCAAATAAATTGATGCGAAAGGCTCGGCGTTGGCAACTTGCCTGGTAATCTTGGCTCCGGAAGGCACGAGCGATAAGCGCCAAATTTGGCGGGGCAATAGGAGACCGCCTGAGACCCTTCTTGGTCAGGCGATAGCGGTAAGCGTGCAAGAGGGTTGCCAAGCCGTCCTCAGTAAAACCTTAAAAAGACGCGCATATCTGGGTGAATGCATTTAGTTATCAAAAAAAACCACAATCTCTAGAATCACTGCTTTGTTTTGCAACATCCCCCGACGCATACTTGACTATTTTGAGTAAATTTAGCTGCTGAATCAGGGTCGGTAAATGCCGGTATTTGTACTACTGGATTAACACGCTAAGACTTAACATGCAAAGGACAAAAATGTAGTAAAAATGTTTGACTAGAAAGAAACTTCTGACGTACACTGGGCGTACTTGTCAATCAACGCGGCCGAAACGGTGGGTGCCAAATTGAACACTTTGTCCAGGAAGGCCTGATCTCAAAATCGAGCAAAATGGAAACCCGTTAGGACGTGGGGAGCACTTGACGCAGTGCAATAGACGCCAAACCTACACGAGGAATTCCACGGGGCTGTGCCGCCATCCACACGAGAGCATAGAGCCAACTGTGGAAGTGTTCGCTTGAGGCATCGTTCGCGGTGGTGGAGGCGAGACGTTCGGCGAAGAGGGCAAAAACCTCTCCGGCCTTTGTTCAAGATAACAAAAACTAAATTAGCAGATTAGCAAATCGTCTTATCAAGCCATACAGTCGTCTGTAGCAACGCGGCATCGAACACAGGAACCAAGGCACCTAAACTACCACCATTTAAACTAATTCGATACACATTGACACCTTACAAAGTAAGAATTCCCTACCGCTTGAGCCAGAGCAACGTCTTGAGAGGTGAGAATAAGGGTGCAGCTAAGTTCGAAGGACCCGCTCTGAGACACCATTGCCTGACGTGAGTCAACTTCGTTGCTGAGTGGGAAACCGGCGGACAACAGCCAGCCAATGGCCTGCGTGCCCGTCAGTTGGGTTCCACGGAAGACAGCTGAAAAGAGCCTGTGAACGAGGAGGAGGGTGTTGCGTTGCCAGAGCGGTTGGCGCACAACTCGACAGAGGAGGTCATTCAAGAAGGACGAAGGTTTCTCGCTGACTGGCAGCGTCTTCAGGTGGCAGCCAATCAGAAGCTCGAAGGTGTCTAGGGCAGATTCGCGAACAGCCTATGTAATGTAAGCAAATGCAACAAACGTACGTCGATAGGGTCGCCTTGGTGATGAAATATGAACTCAATGACAGGCACCAGGTCATTGTTGGCGGTGATGCGTTCGAATTCGGACACACTCAGGCATTTCCTACGGCAAGGTGTTAGAGGGAGCGGTGGACATACGAGGCGCGATTGCTCCACAGGCGGTAACAGTAGCCGGTCAGTAAATCCACGAAGGAATCGTTGTTTCTGAAAACGAGAGCATTGTGTACTTGCACCTCGTAGACGTCAGTAAAGAACATTTAAAGACAGAGAATGTGTAAAACCGATATCGAAGTAGTAATCAAAGTTCGCTATAAACTGACGAGGAATGCTAAAATTACCGGTTTTCCAGGGTTATTTGGTGAAGCAGATGGCTGATCAATGTATTAAAATCACCGTCCGATATTACTGATATGATACCGAAAGTGCCAGCCAGACGACTAGGCAATGGGTAACAGCCAATCAAGAGCTTATTGTACAGGCTTGAAAATGGCTTCCCACCGTCCGAAACGGTTTCGAATAGCTAGAAAAAAGGGAGATAACCTTTACGAAATCGAACCCACGCTTTTACTAAGAGACACAGCTTCAAGGCAGCAGAGACCCCGTGCCAGTAGAACGCTATTCGCCAATAGGCAATTAAACGAAACACCACCTAGTGCAAAGGTTAATTAACAAAAAAACTTGGGAGCATACGGCTAAATAAGCTGGCCTGAAGACTGGCTAACTTATCCAAGTCGTCGGCATCAAATTTGCAGTTTGTTTTGCTGGAATATGCGAGTAGTGAAGCAAGTGCTTGTAAACACAATGTAGTAAAGGCGTCATTGTACTGGAGTTCACTATATACAAAAAAATAAGGTAAGAACCACCTCACCCTGAAAACGTTGCAAGGGTATCCAAAAGCAGTGTAAAATCCCGTTTTGTGGTCTCATGATTAACGGACAGGGAAGCTAAATTAAAATAAAATGCGGAAACCAAAGCTCACATTCTTTTGAACTGTATATCTTAGAAAGGAACACAAGTCTGTTGAAGTCTGCAGTACAAACAGCGTCGTTGTCCGATAAGTTCATCGACTTCACTTTACCGACGGCTGAAGTGCGAATTACAGGAAATATTTAGATCAGGACGAATGAAGATCATGAATGCGAGCACATAAGAAGTGCAAAAAAGTAATCTGGTGAGCCATTATACGCTACGGTATCTTTAAACTGAAGTGCAAACTTCAACGTTAATTTGGGAAATGGATGTTGCATTAAAATGTCACTACAGCCTTCAAAAATGTAGGACACGAAAAGGGGCATAATAACCTCACTTCAACTGTGTGATCGGGGTTTGTTAATTGACCGATTACAAGAGAAAAGAAAAGCATTGTATAATAATGCAGCACATTTCAAAAACTTTCTAGGTAATATATTCTCATATCATAAATATTATAGGATCTGAGACTACTGACAGGCATGGTAATTGAAGAATAATATTTACTGAGAAACTACATGGTCAAAAAAAGTTCTTTCATTGGTATTTCATTGAGTCAATCATATCAACATATTATTATAGGTCAGTTTATAACATTGACAGGGTTTATAAAATTGAATAGCAGATTCGACTAGAAAAAAAAAGAAAAATTCGGATATCGTTACAAATACACACAATTACGAAAGTCGCAGGAATGCCAATTCAACGAATGACATCAGCAGCAATGACCCCGGATTCAGGTTACTGGAAAAATTAATGAATGTAGTTATTTAGAAGCCAAAAATGCAATCTGCTACTCAAACTAAACATAGAAAATAGGATGCTTCCCAATACATCTTAAAATGTTTCAAACGGTATTTAAATTGCTGCGGTTAATTTGGCTGGGATGTATTTATATTGTTGCGGGCTCCAGAAAGGAATCAGTCCTGGACCGATTAACCTTCCCTGATACTCGCGATGAAGGCAAAAAACCGGAGAGGACGGGACACAATCGTTTACATCAGGGCTCAACCAAAACTGGTGTCGTTTTGTTGTGTGTGGGGTTTGCGCGTGTATATTTATGCCTCGGATGTGTGAGTCATACATGCGCTTACATCGAGACCTATGTGCGAAGATAATCTAAGATAAACAATGTGAATGGGGAGGAAGGGTCGCGGATCTGCGCGGCTGACGACATGCTGCGAAAAGGGGTACCCAATGTCGGTGATCGATCGACCGGTTTAAGGGATGTGAATTAACATGATTTCCAACAATATTATATCCAATTCCATTTATTAGGATCAACTTATCTTAACAAAATAATTTCTTAATCTTTTAGCAAATAGTAGCTATTGGCATTTATCAATATGCAGCCTCAATTTACATATATGTGTGGGGAATGGAATTGATTCACGCCCATTAATCCGTTCGCCAAATACTGTGACTCCGTGCCTTTCTCTTTCAAGAAGCTCCTAATGCCTTATGCAGAACAGTCTGCAATTACCTCTACCCTGCTGCTCGTTTCATCAGTTCACTCATTCTACAAGTTGTGGATCTGTCGGTTCAATAAGACTTTATTAATTAACAAACCCCATTTGTCAGACCCGATATTTTATGCGTAGTGGTGAGACACGCACAAAGTTGCTGAGATGTCGGAAAATACATTGGTGTCTCTCGCAAATTCTATCTTCTTCATTGGATACTTTGTGCTGTATTGCGCTGTAACATGTATATCGTGAGCAAAAATATTCAATTCAGAGGCACTTAAAAATTAACAACAAAAGTTCGACATTACAGTAAAGTCATTAACATTTGGCAGCAAAAGATAATATGACCTAGTTGTGAAAGACACATTATTAGCATTTAACTTAATTTATTAAGTAAGTAAAAAGATTTTCAAAACATTATTTAGGAACCTGCAATTTGCGATATTAAGCAATGAATTATTAAAATTAACCTTCTGACAATTCAAACAATCACTTTTCCTACAATTAATAGAAGGATATTTTGTATCTAGAAACTCGATAGTTGTTAGCTTGACATTTTAGTCTGCCTTTGAAGTAGACAATTTTCTCTAGTCATCGGTTCTTGTGGTTGATAAATTTGATAAATGGTGCAAAAACCTTGTATTTAATAAATGAAAAGCAATTCATCATGAACTTGTGACACTTAACCGCGAGGTATGGCAAATTAGAAGTCAAACTCATTTAAACATTATTTAAAAGGCAAAATTTTTAAAAAATACAATGTTAGTTTGCAAAAACAATTTTTTACCACTTTTAATTTTTAATCTCTTGTTTTGTCGCATAATCCCATACCCGTTCCTCTTGACCGTAGAGTTTTTGGTGTCTCTCTGTATTTGGTGTAATTTTCACGGCTAAATAATGTCTTATATGCTTTCACATTTGACTAATGGCTGGCAAGTAGACCAGGCCATTCTTTCAGAAGAGGATCGCGTTGTCATAATCCGCTTTGGTCATGATTGGGATCCAACGTGTATGGTCATGGACGAAACTTTATATCAAATCGCCGAAAAGGTCAAAAACTTCGCAGTTATCTACCTCGTTGATATAACTCAGGTCCCTGATTTTAACAAAATGTATGAATTGTATGATCCCTGTACAGTTATGTTCTTCTACCGGAACAAACACATAATGATCGATCTCGGAACTGGAAACAACAACAAAATTAATTGGTCGATAGAAGATAAACAGGAATTCATCGACATTGTTGAAACCGTCTATCGGGGTGCGCGTAAGGGGCGAGGCCTCGTTGTTTCTCCCAAGGATTATTCTACCAAGTATCGTTACTGACCTTTTACTTGTGCTCTTGTTGAAAATAAAGCATTGTACATAAGTGCCAGTTTGTGGTCCTTATAGTTTGCTGCGTTACCGTTTCGAGCGTTCAACTCGTGAACGAACTCCTATACCTGTGTCACGTTTAAGTCATTAGCACTAAGTCAGCTCGAATACAGGCGAAACTACTCTAGTGCCACTCACAACTCTGTAAATGACTAAGTCATGATTCGTTGTAGTGTGTAATACTATATTAGATGTCTATCCAAAAGCGACCTCAGTAGACTTATTAATGGTGTCTCGACCTGAAAAAAGAACTCGTAAATAATAACTTAGTTTATTTCACAAATTGTTTCAATTCTCTCCGGTTATGTACACGTACAGTGACAGAGGGTATGCATGAAATAAACGAAAATGAGACAAGTCTTTGTGGCTGCGTTGGAAAGACTGAGAAGAGAGGACGTGGGAGAAGTGTGAGGACAGTAGAGGTAAGCACCGCAAAGAGCGCAGCCCGGAGGATATTGCAAATCAAACATGGTTAGAAATCATTGGATGCACAGATGTGTAAAATATGTGTACAGAGAATGAAGATGCTGGTGTGGAGTTTGCACAAAATAGACAAGAATCAGTAAGACCTGCTTTTTGAGCGAGTAGATGGAAGCGCGTGGACACACACACACACACAGCTGTATGTACACTGTGTCATAAGTTTTCCGTTTCGGTTGGAATCACAGGAGTGCTGATGCAAACAGAGGTAGACGCCAGAGGGCATGAAACAGCGAATTCGCTTAAATTTATCATTCGTTACACAGTTGATTTGTCAGCCGCAAAATTATATGCAACACTTTTTCCTGGCGACAGTGAGGTTGGACGCTTTGGTCAATGAGTCCGTCTCAGTTGCGTCAGCTGTTTGTGACCTGAAACAGAAAAAGCAAACTCCTTAAATGTTCCGTTTTCCAACGTGGTCCAAAGCCTTTGTAATTTAGTGTAGGATGCGTGGTTTCCGTTACTAAGTCAGACAAGCGCTGCAGCGCACTACCGATGATACGTTTTTGGAATCTAGGAGCAAGGGCACTGCCAGGCTGGGACGGAGAATACCGAAATGCCTGTTAAATGCCACAAGTGGAAAAATAAGTCAGCCAATGTCACGAACGAATAATTGCAGACAGTGGAGATTCTCTAAAGTGTTATAACACCACTTTGCAACGCAACTCAAGCCGAGGACAACAGATTGGTCTGCCAGGGAAACTCGTCAGAAGTAATTTTAAGCAATGTGTGTAATTCTGTTAGCGCTGTTTCCTAAGCAAGCAAGTTAGTTGTAGAATCCACAAAACGAAGTCCCGTCGACGATCAGAGGAATTCGCAGGAAACACTTCCAGACGACTTTGCAATCCGAAAGAAAATGCACAAATCAGTAAACAAGTTCAGTGAATTAAATACAGCGAAAGTCTATATCTGTTACTACCATTGGCGTAATGCATTACTTGGCGTGTAAATTAGGAAAACTGACGAGAGCCGAGACTAAGCCCGAGATGATGAGTATCACTGCGCAAACGTGACATTCAAACTGTTACTTCCGTACATTTTGTTTTGCTCGTCCAAACAGTCCCACGGTAAGTAATGCCCCTACCCATTTGTCCACTACTTTTCGATTGACGTCTGTCGTCTAGAACAGTCGATACGTCCATTTTTTGCCTTCTTGCTAGCATAAGGCTCATATTTTAAGCTGAATTGCTGCTTTTGTGCGAACCAATGTTTTTTGCGTCTAAACACCGGGACAAATTTTAAGCATTCAAGTACAGCCCACAAGTACGTATTTACCTAATCGGCCCCCATTTGAACGCCTCCACAAGTCCTACAGTAAATAATTAAAAGTGGAATAAACTAACTCAGTCCTTTTTTTAGCTTTTTTGACCTTGGAAAACGGGGAACTTTTAGCCTTTAACCAGTTTGCATCCAAATTGCGCTTCAAATAAGGCGATTCAAGTCAACATTGGTAACAACCCGCCTCTCTTCCACTTGCGACTTTACCTACTTGACAGAAACCTACCAAACAATTAAATGGACAATATCGGCTGATGGTGTTACTAGAAACGAAGTCCACACCACGTTGACTGTGTCCCTTCCGCATTACGTAACCCGGACTAGTTCGGCCTATTTAATGGAGTCGTGAATTAGAAATTTCGATGCGAAAGTCGTGAGAAAAATATCTGGTAGTGGAGGTGGTGGCGGCGGCGCACGTTGAAGTACTGGCGCGTTGCCTAGGGACCCGATGCCACTTTCTCAGTGGAAACAACTCCTGGCCTGCCCATGAAATTACGTACACTTCGTTGTTGTTGCCGCTGCAGGAGGGGCTGGCTTCTCCGCTGGGGGATTTGCCACGAGAGGGGGCAGGGGGTAGCGCCGGTGCGGAGAAGGGACTGGTGGAGTTGTTTGAACTCAGCTGAGTTATGGGAAGGTGGCTGTTCTGTGCGGACCTGCTGGCTGCGACCGCCGTCGGCGTCAGCGCGTTGGACTCGAAGCTGCCTACCACGGCGTACTGCGAGGGGGGAGGGTTGGTGCGCAGGAATTCCACCACGTTGTCCGGATCGCCGGCCGCTAGGCGCTGGAAGTAGGGGATCAACTCCAACAACGCCTTGTCGGACTTGTCGTCGAACCACGACGTTATTTGCACCTGCATCGTAAAAAAAACGCACAAGTGTGCGAGACTCCAGGCCGCATTAAGATCCAATAGGCAAACGTTGTTTTTCGACACAATGGACTGCGAAAACACGGCTACTTTCTTAGTAAACGTGGGCGTGATTTAGCGTAGGCGTCGCAGATTCAACGAAATTAGCACAGGTAGGTTAAAAATCGCAGGATTAACAAACGAATTGGTCGTGCTACCCCGCAATGCCGCTGTTATGTAACTCGGTGGCCGTAAGAATACGCAACAAGTGCAAGGCGGACCTACCCATAAGATTTGTTTATATCTGCACCCACTGTTTATGACAAATCTCCAACGTGTGCAATAATCAAATCTGCTTTACCAAGTGTTCAATCGCTAAGTTTTTTTCTTAAAAAAAGGAGAATGCATGGGATTAAAAAACGGCCGTCCTGATGTGCCTTTTTTCCCAACGATGCCAAAATAGAGTTGCGGTGATCGCAATTAACGGTAGTTTAGGGTGCAGAAAAGATAGCTTCCTCGCTTGTGCTTCTCTCAATTTCATGCATCCACACATTACAACCGACGCGTCGACTTGTGGTGGCGCGCCCAGTAACACTTCAGCATCAGTAACGAAACAGCGCCGGTAGACAGACGCCTGACTGGCCAAATTTTCGATACAGCTTTGACTGAATGGCAATTAACCTCGCTTTGTTAAATGGGTGGTGGTGGTGGTGGTTCTGCGTCAATGCAACTCACCACAACAACAAAAACACCAGGGGTGCGTTTAGAGCGTGCGCAATAGTACCATTATCCAGAGTACGCAATTAGGCGCCACAGAGGCAGTTCGACCAGGTGTGGTCAAGACGCCCTGGCATGGTTGTGGCGCTTTGTTTAAAAACACGAAATTGAAATTGTAAAAAAGTCAATTTGCAGTGCTGGATGCATCACCCACAGCACACTGATTTCGCACAAAGTTCGCCACACTATTCACCTCGCTGATTTGCCATTTGCGCTGATTGATTTGGCTCGCAGTCTCACGTTACATTCATAGTTACACAAAATGCCTTGCAATTAAAATCAAATAAAGCGTGATTCTTTACCGACTCTGTCCCTCTCTCTATCAGATCATAGGTGACGATGTGGGCTCGAGTTGCACACCAGGAGCCTCTACAGTGCCGAGGCATTGACGATTTTGAGTTCTTTCTAAGCAAATGAGGGCTAAGTAATTAGGACATTGCAACAGCCTAAAGGCCTACAAGACAAGAGTCATACTGCGCAGGCACATACCTAAAGAATGCGGTATAGAATCGAGCAAACACATGGGAAACGGGAGCGCAATTTGCGATTGGCTACTTTGAATTGAGCCAATATTTTGCAAGCCAACGCCAGTCCGTGGTTGGCGCGAGGTCAGAGGCGTGCTTCAATAAGTGACTATAAACATACACATGTTTAGGTGAAATGTTCGCCAATAACATGGATACCTTTAAAAAAAGGTTGCTGTAAAAAACGGTTATTCGTAGCCCCCAAAGCACAGCAGTGAGTTCTGGCAAAAACAAGTAATTCAAGAGTGACCGGAGATTCGAAATGTGGAGAAAATGGATTTAGAGGACCCTACAAGCTCCTCTCAACCAACAATCGGCGTTTGTAACTGTCAGGGACAGGGAAGTCACGTGTCACTTGACGACATTAACGTGGACATTGGCCAGGCTTAATTTGGCACAGGCAACCAAGAAGGCCGGTCATTTTTCGGTTTAAGTAAAAAAAAACAATATGGAGATTGAACGAGTTGTATGCCAGAAACGGATGCACGGACGAAGTCAACGAAACACGCACGTTTGATTAGAACTGCATTCAAGAAGACACCGACCCCACACAAAACGGCGAAGTGGAAGGGATTTGCTGTTTTGCTAGTAGCGCTGAAAAATCGTGGCTACTACACATCGCACAGACGCGTTTTGAAAAGGAATTCGGCCAACTTCAAAGAAGGGCAAACAACTAGGATGGAAACGGCGTCTAGCCACAATTTCCTATGCACAATCAATGGACCCTACGACTGTATCCTTCTAAGAGGACGGGAACTGCTGTCGGGAAAAATAAGGGTGAGAAAAAACTCACCGCATTGGTGGCGTGGAACATGTAGGACGCCGGGGAGTTGTCGAGGATGACGACCTGTTCGATCGGCCGACCGAGTTGGGCGAGGTCTTTGACGTAGTTGCCGCGGTGGTAGACGCACGACTCACGGAATAACCGGTACCGGAAGACGTGCCACTTGTCCAAGAAGTCGGCCACGGGATCGGCGTACTGCAGCGGTAGGGGAAAGGGGTAAGCTTAAGAAACGACAACGCGGCACTCGGCCTGGGGGGAGGGGAGGGAAGGAGTACAAACATCGTGTTTTGGCATAAGGAATCTTGGGGGAAAAACAGCCAATGAGGGATTAGCACTAGCGCCCTCCTCTCACTTTGGGATTCATGGTGGTTGGGGCCGATTAAACCCGCTTGAAATGAATCTTTTGTAACACCCCAAGGTAAGGTTCCTCTAATGTTGACGTTAGCTTAGAAAAGCAATTTCCAACGCTTCGAAGCGATGCTGGACAATCACCTTCCGCCGGAGTTTGTACGCAAAACACCTCCTCCGCTTTTTCTTAGTGGTAAACAGGCTTAACTCCTTTTGCAGCTGACTTGTATCTCCTGGCGGCTAGCTTTCGTGAGATCAATCTGCCTGCAAGCCACCGTTTTACCGGCAGCTCAATTGCCACAACGTGTTTGAGTTCGCGCTCCAACATGGTGCGAGATTTGATGGTTGTTTCAACTCCTCGAGTCTACGGGTCGAACTAGCTACTCGTGGGGACTTCGACAAGCGCCCACACTAAAGCCCGTCTACATGACAACGAGGATAACATTTCAGTTGGAATAGACTGGCTTCTAGAACGTTTGGGTGTCTGGTAGCACGTAACGCGTGAGTTTGAGAATTCACACACACACAAAGAGCTATGGGGGCAAAAGGTTGGTGCCAGAGCCGCCTGCAAAGAAGCTGATTCTCTGGGTGCGCAAGTGCCTTGTGCCAGTTGCGTCCGTCAAATGACACCAGTGTTGGCATCGAGCCAAACTTTGCAGCAACCTCAGTTCCCTCAGAAAAAAGCGATGTAAAGCGGCTTAGCAAGGGAAAAGCGAACTGCCCAGGTCGGTGAAATGCTGTAACAGTGCCGATAGCCACCAGAATTCGCCGTTGCACTTGCCAATTACCGAATTTGTGTGAGAACCAAACCCAGCAACCAGTTTAGCAGAAATTTGTGCCAGATCATCCCACACAGCTTGGTGGTGCCGTGAAAGGCGTTTAGCTCAACAAGATGCTACAAAGTAATGAGCTGACGGGACAGTGAATTTCGTAGCCGTAAGGTTTAGAAGAAGAGTGGCGTTTCAAGGATGTGGTCTCACGACGCACCAACGAGAACACCGCGAATCAAAGCATCTAGTCGCGCACGAAGGCCCCTTCTGCGGCATCGCAAGCAGAGTAGTAAATCAAGCTAAATATCCACCAATCACGGCAATGGTTGATGCGTAAATCTTAAATGATCCCACCGCGATTCACAGTTCCCATTGCACGCGATGCGATTTGGAAAGAAGGGAGAAAAAAGCAAGCAGCTGGCGTTTCTAGGCCAACGTCAACTGCCTAAAAGCAACCGTGGTTAGGTTCACTACATCGAGCTGATAAGAACGCGGCGAAGGAGCGAGTAGGACACAATCCCCGCTCGACACGGGTATGTTCACTCGAGTTGACGCGGCGTTGCTCGTGCTGCGATTGCGTGAACAAGTCACAGTTGGAGAGTACTAAGGGGGTTTGTAGGGAAACACAAGAAATCAATTCGGATTGCTGCGCTTGCTGCGATGCATAGCATCTGTAATTGGAAGTAGCGCGATTCTCACCACGCCGAATTGCGTGCAAAGTGCAGTCACATGAGTTGGGAGAGTTGAGATGGACAAAAAAAAGACAACCGACTGAGGAGCTCCATGAGGTGACTTGTTTTTACCGACCCACTAAAAAGTCGTGAGAGAAAGTGCGACAGAACGCAAAACGAGCCAAAATTTGCAGGTGACACGCAGAGGCTAGTGGACAGCAAAAAATAATGCCAAAAACGGGGGGAAGTGCGAGCAAACGCTACGGATGTTCATCTGGGAGTAGAGAAAGAGAGAAAGGAACCAAAGGTGATGTAGGGATTGTGGGAGACCACACAACAGGCTGTGCACGGTCAGCTTATAACCTGGTTTGTGGATATGGGGAATTTTCGTTCAAAAAGGAGACATTCCTTTCTACCGCCGAAATTGCTGCTTCAAAAAAGAAACACACTAAAAAAAGAGATAGTAAAAAGGGGTAATCGCGGTGGGCAAAAAGGGAGAACAATGCGCGTCTGGACCTTGAAGGAAACCTCACAGAATCAACAAGGAGAGGTTTTACATTAACTCGTGGGCAAAACTGGTAGAATTGACAGGTAAAACGTTTGTGATCGAAATCGGACATGGTCTTTTACGCCAGAATACGGGTTAGACGAGCTATCCAAGATAATAAATCTCAAGGCGTTCTGTGAACATGAAAACCTCGTAGCAGGTTTACTACGAAGTGAGAGATTTGGAACGCGACATCTGAATGCAAAGAACCGGATCCACAATTGACCTCCAAACTTTACTAAATAATAAATCACGATTGCGGGGGCAAGTCTGCGCAACTAATTGCCGCTGACAGCGCGTTACGCTTAAGAGATCGTTTAGTTTGCGCCCTGAAGAACAGGTGCGGACAAAAACGCGCAACAGATGTGATTATCGCGTCTCTTTTTAATCCTTCTACAGTAGACGACGTGCAGGTCTTGGACAGAGCGAAGTAGCCGGGCAAAATGTGCCGGTTCTGATGAAGCAATTATCCCAATGAGAAATGGTACAAAAGCGGAATACTCGCGTCCTTAAGGGGATTCATGAGGCGTGCGGAGGCGTATGCGTGGAAGGCGAATGGGCTAGTGTGAAAATTGAGTCGGCCAAAATGAATAAACACACCAATCGGTGGCAGGAGGCGCTAGTGAATATCGAATTCCAGGTGACGCGTCGAATGATGAAGAGAAGGCATTAAAAGCGGTAACAGAAACGGAACACCAATGAAGCTGTGCAACTAATGTCCCTTGTTACTCAACACTTCCCGGTCGTTAATAGAGATTAGTGCAAGACAACAACTTAGCCAAAAAGGATGAAAATTTTCATGCCGAAACAGGAAAATGCTTCAAGGAGTGCCGATCGAAGGGCCCCATCAAACGAAAACGTCGCTACATCGAATACGAGCGTATTCTGTTGTGTATTTTAAGGTGTTGCAGGCACTCACAACAGCGTCCTACTTTCCTAAGAAGTAAACCCCGGAAGCGAAATTTCAACTCGACTGTGCTTAGAGGGTAGCGTCGTGGTAATAGCTGACGCCGCGGGCAGAATACTTACTAGGTCAACAATCACCATTTAAGTTGGGAGTTAGCACAACAAGCATTTTTAGGTTAAGAAGAATTAATTTGGCCAGGCGTTGCCATAACCAATTGCATCTGTTTGGGCAAAACGTGCGGTGAATGTGGCGCGATGAAGACAAGTCATTAGAGATAAGCCTAACGCTGCTAAAGTACAAGTAATGGTATGTGAAAGTGCGTTCGTGTTGCCATGCCTAACGGATGGAATTTATGCTGTCTTAGGGTGCAGCGTCGTTGCCGATCCCAACGTACCAATTTGTGGTGAAAGGGCAAACACCCAACTACACAAAAAATCAAATCGTTAACACACAAACACACACCCTGTTTGTCCTCGCAAGAGCCCCAATTTCACACAAAAACAATTTACCTTTTTGGCTAACTCGCCTAGATCTGAACTGTCCTAACCTACGAATGCGCACACGACACATCCACATCCGTAGTCGCTGATTCTTTATGGCACGGGAATACAATGATTTGAACAGCTGGCATTTTATTACGTGAATGACTTAATTTCTGCAGATTTCTTCCTCGCGCATAAAGTTAAAATTAAATTAGAAATGCTTTGGCGGTCCTTTTGTGGTTTAGAAAGGACAGGACATAAAGTTCACGAACACCGAACGACAAGTCTACGATAGCAACTGATAAACAGCACATTCGATGGCGCCGCATTTTACGCGAATTCCAACAAGGCACGGGAATTGATTTGTACAGTTCATGGTGTCGATGTTGTGTTGCTTATGAAAAGTGACCCGCTGCGTCCCGGAATCGCAAGCTCTATTGGATGAAGACTCAACGCGAACGCGACGAGAGCTTTCAGCTCTCGTGTGAAGTCACCCAAACAACGCTCGCACCAAGTAGGAAAATCTCGAAAACTTGGAAGTTGGTTCATCCCACATGGGTTGACCGAACACAACCCAGATGAATGTTGGTCACCCTATGAACGCATGCCTATCACTGCTTGCCCGCCTACAACAAAAAAGGATTTCATGTGAAAAATTGTGACGTGTGATGAAAAGTGGACATTTTTGTACGAGAATCCCAAATGTAGAAAGGTATCGCGAGTAGAACCCGTCCAACGCAGTAGTGCACCGACGCCGAAACAGGAGAGCAACTTGAAGAAGGTTCTCCTGGGTATCTGGTGGAACATGAAGGGTGTACTTTATTACGAACTCCTGGAAACTGGTCATCAGACTGTGACTGCGCGACGCTACAGTCGACAATTGAACAAACTGGCAGAAGAAATTAATCAGGAAAGGCCATTTACTGGACAAGGAAGCAGACAAGCAATACTGCTGCTGCTGCATGACAACGCTAGACCAACCCCCGTTGCTCGCGCGACTCTGAAGACCTTCTTGAACTTGGGATGGGAAGTTCTCCCACACTCAACATCTTCACCAGACTTGGTCCCCACTTCTGACTAGCATTTGTTGCGGCCAGTGCAGCAGCACGCCTTAGTGGATAAACGGTTCCTGAACCGCTGAAGACGATGTTTGTAAAGTTGTCATCAAGGCTGACTTTACTGCAAGTTTCTTTTGCGACGGCATTCGTACGTTGCCTGAGTTATGTCGCAGGGTCATGGAAGACGATGGACAATATTTTCAAGGCTAAGTTCGTTGTTCTCAATTTTCGAATTAAGTAAATTTGCAGAAAATCGGTGCAAATTAAGTCATGCATCGAATACGTTTGAACGAGAGCGCTGGGTTCTTGAGAAGTCGAGGGACATCAAGCAACTGCCTAGTTGGTGTAGGAGCCCACTAGCAAACACTGAAGCCATCAGCCCACCTACACACGCAGAGAGCAGCGAAAAAGGAACGCAGCGGCTTACCGCACACCGACACCCCGAAAAACTCAACCGACAAAAAAAGGAAAGATAGCCGCACCACTTACCGGTTAGGCTAGACATCGCGGAAGGGTTTAGCACGACTACCATGCTAGAATTTGGACTAAGCTGGTTTAGTTATCCAGTTGACATTTGGCGCAAAGTAGCCTGACGTAGTGGGATGGCAACGTAAGTGGCTGAGATTTGACGTTAGGAATTTGGTCGGGTAGATTTCACTGCCGCCTCGACTACATACTTATCAAAGTGCTATTCCCAGCCCCCATCTGAGGAAACAGGGCACCTGGTGACGGGGGTGCGGCTGCTCAAGATTGAACCGAACGAGGTAGTAAAAACGGATGTCATCACTGCTATCCTACAGGCAGCAAGTTCGCGCGGTAGAGAGTGTAAATAGAACGTTGTTTATGGCCTACCCTAACACCACAAACACCTCCCCGTCTTATGGGGCAATATTAATTAATTACACGAACAAATATCCACATAGTGATAGGAAACGCCTAAGAATTTTTCAATAAACGCTCTGGCGATCCGTCTCAATCAGTTTTTTTTTTCTATAAAAAAAGTAAGAGTGGTGGCTACAACTCTGTGAATGTTTGAGCTCGGGGTAAGACTGTTCAAATGAGCAAATTTGAACACTTTTTTGCAAGGATTTATGGGTTTGGGTAAAGCTAGTCCAAAGTAAGTTAAAATCACACCTGGCCCGACGATTCCCATGCCCACATGTAAAGTAAAAAAAGTACGCTGTGCAAAAGTACTTTCCGAATTAGAAGCAGCGTTAAAAGCGAAGCAAACCGATGGTTTACCTTGGAAAGACTAGCAGTGAAGAGCACACACTCGTAGATGTCAGCCATGGCCCGCAGGAAGTCGTCGACGTGTGGCCGCTTCAGCACGTACACCTGATGCACCACATTGTCGATCTCAACGCCCACCTTGAAATCCGCCTTGTCCACGGCCTGAAAGAGTGGAAAAGGCGCGTGGGAAGACGACCAGACCTGATTAGGAGCCAACCAGCGTGGTGCTTTGTGTCGACACCCTACTTGAATTGCTTCGTGGTTTGAAATACGGTTGGAGACATAAGTTAAGCGGTGGCACAAGGACCCTCTTGAGCATTTGAGAGAATGGAGAGGACGTTTTTGTCTAGACTCAAAAGGCGCCACGCCTCGTAGCGGAAAAAAAGGTGTTAGATTTGGACACAGGCTGTCGGACGGCGGAAATTACGATGGTAATTAGTCTCGATGTCTTTTTTGACACACAAGCAACGCCAGCGGACGACTTATCAATGTTCAACTACAGAGAACATGGTGCAACCAGGCATGAAAAACCGACCCTTGTCTGGGATTAAGGCACTGGACTGCCTCGGATATCAAAAACTTTCAAGGCAGAACAGGCGATTAATCAAAGTTGGAATAGAAAAGACATCTAACACGGTTCAAATGCTACAGGAGGCCCTGCCCCACGTGGCCTCTACAGTGGAAAGAAGGGGAGTAAAATCAGCATCACATTCACGACTAACTTTACCCACGTGCACCAGTGAATGATCATTTTGCGATAACGAAAGGTCAATTTCTAGTAGGTGATTTTCGAAATGCGGTCAAAAACTACGGTGATGATTTCAAAAAAAAAATAGAATAACTGGTTGTTTTTTAAATAAACTATAAAGGCAAGGAACGATAGGCGTTCATGACTTTGAGGGCAGAGTGAAACAAACTAGAAACAAAAAGTTGGTTTGGTTTCACCTACCCGCACGACACAAAATCCAATAAGACGCAAAATTTTGTCGGTAGACTCGACGCTAGACCTGTTTAACACTGACACACACAAACCCTTCCGGCTGGTCTAACTGGAGTAAATTAAACGGTGTGGGTTTTCATGTGTGCAACTAGGGTCTTGGAGATTTTGACCTGCCCAGAATTCACCCATGGGAAATAAAGCCATCAATAAATTTATAACCAGCATCGATGAAGTATTCTATTCGAATGTATCATTGCGATTTGGTCAAGAAGAAGGCTACGGCAATACATGGCCAAGTTTTACAGATTCGTCGTGTTGATAGAGATCTAGCTTGGCTACCGTGAGGTACTTACTAAAGCAGCATAAAGAATGTAGTACAAGTAGAGGGTACAGACGAACCTTGAAAGAGCTGTGCACGAGTGTTTCATCAAGATCAATAATGAAGCACTTCCGCCCTCGATCAGATGCTTTTTGAGGTCCAAGGAGAGTTTGACGCTAAAATAAAATCGAAACCGAGTAAAGCGACTTTAGGTGCAACAAAGAGACTATCATTCAACAAGACAACAAGGCGGCACTGGGCTGTTCATTTAGTGAATGCGTTGGCCGAAAACAAAAACAGCTGACCAACATCAAAAACAGTTAGGGGGAGTCGACATTGACATTGGTTAGTTTGGTGCGTTTACAGTTTCGTTGATCGACATAAAAAATGAACACTATTTTGCAGAATACAGGAAGAGACAACGCGGCCAAAGCAAGGCAGTTCAATGTTCCAATTATAACAAATTGGAAAAAAATGTAACGTTTAATAGTTCAGGTAAGTTTGTAGGCTCATAAGCATCCCAAACAGGAATACTGGGCAAACGCGTTAAGGGAGAAAAGAAGGAGATTGTAGGATTAAAGTGAGAAAACAAATTTCCAGTAAAAGTGGCTTCATTATCTTCTTAAACTAATTTAAAGGTAGATTCAGCTATCACAGTCTAATCTGGTAGCTAATAGACATCTGTCCACCGAATGCCTCCATACTTCATATAATTAAACCATGAAAGCAAAAAACCGGAAAATTTCCAAATTTTGCCATAGCAGCGCACAGGTTACTTTGTTAAAGGATGTTAACAGCAAGTAGAATGAAAAGTAAAACGCAGGTCACTCACCCGTTCTTTCAAACTATCTTCTGCACAACAGGTTTTTGAGGAACTCGACACAGAAGTGTCATTACCAGCAGCTTCCTGAGAGTCCGCCCCACATACAGCCCCTGTTGCGTCTGCTTTAGGCAGTCCACTTTTGTGTCGCTTTCTGTAAATATAACACCTCAAGCGGGAGACAGGTGACCATCTGAAGAAAGACGCGTGGCCTTTATCACCATCTTTACACTTGACAGCATCGTTCTCTTCATTTACACAAGTTGTTTGGGTCTCTTCAGAAGGATTGGTTTGTGATTCACAAGAGGGCACAGGCCCAACTGGCGCGTGCTTGGCATCGCGATTGAAGTGTCGGGGTTTTCTTGGTTTAGACGCATCCACACCATCTGCGTCGTGTCTTGACAAACACCCACACAACAAGGAATCAAGGTGACAAAATCCTAAGCGATTGTTTGGGGACCTTCTGACGGACGATGAGGCATTACTTGGACCCCCTGTACCCACATCAGGACAGGTGTCACAACTAAGCTGATTGTTTTGATCACCCTGCACAGGACTTCCTAACAACGGTATTAAAACAGAACTTGGTAAACATGGTGCGGAATCGCGTGCAGTCTTGTGCTCTGTGTCACGTTGATGGTCCATGTAAGCGGCTGGGGGAAAAAGTATCCAACGGAAGAGGTATTTTTGGCACCAGTAAATCACACGAAAAATTGTGTATTTTTCCCAAAGGCGACGAAAAAATATGATGACGCATGTTTTGTGACGTACATTGGGGCTTTCTAAAGGTATTTAGACTACGGAGGTATTTTCGACGCAGAGAGAACGCGTGCAAAGAGCCACTTCGCTATCATTGTTTATCTCCACGACGTCCCAGCCACAATGCACCAATAACGAAACAATGGGTCTCGTAGCTTTATTGGAGTGGCATCCATGTCCCATTTACATTTTTTAAGGTGTAATCTTCAAGAAATTTATAAAAAAACCACAGCTATGTTTCAGAAACGTTTCGCCATTATTTCTAATCATAAAACGAGATCGAAAGGTGCACAATTACAGGCAAATGCCTTAAGTTTATTGAAAGCACCTAATTTAACATGTTAAAATAATAATTTGATCTCGATATACAAATACAAGAGTTATGGAAAATCCAGCAAGAAATAAATTAGATCTATTTTAATTGTATTTTTTGGTTATCTATTATTTTCACATATCTCTACTATTACTGTTCGGTGATAATAATTTCATGACATCCAAGTAAACACAAAGTAACAAGCTCAGGTATATATGTATATAATGGCAAGCACAATTGCTACAGTCAAGTCTGTGTGAAGAATATTTTCGAATTTGGAACTATATCACTTTGTTTTCTCGTAATTCAGACCTCTGATTGGACAAAATATAAAGAAATAATTTGCAAATGTATGCAAGTACGTCATACTGCATAGAAGTTAACTGCGGTTTAGTACTTTATACAAGCTGACTTTGCTACTTCCAAGAATGTCGCCTATATACTACAAATCTGTGGAATTAAAACCTGGATACAATGTATTAAATCATTTTTGCCAAATGAAAACTCAAACGAACACTGAAATTTGGTCGTCTAACTTAGCTACACCATAAAATTTTTTTCCATGTAAACTTTACATCCCAAATAAATGTAGGTAAATTTCCCTGAAGCTCGTCACCAACTATACTGATTAATTTTTGATACTCTGTCTTGAATTTCCAAGCATTGCATATTATATTTTCTGATTAGTGTGGCATGTGAAGTCACAGAATACCAAAAAACAACAAGTTAGTAAATTCGACAATCATAGCAAATCTTTTTTTTTAACCATAATCACAAAATGATAATAAAATAAATTTTGTTTTCCAGTTACTCTTTGAATCAAATTTTTCGCAAGCAAGTTATTATAATGCTGTTCGAATTATATCAAGCTTTTTTGCTCCATAAATTAAATAATGCAACATTAACTTTTTTGACAGATTTATAAAATAAGATTTATAAGAAACGAAACAGTTGTAGACACATTGTGGATTTCCGTGTACACATAGGAATACTACTTTTACAATATCTGGAGCCTAAATTTATAAAAGTATATAGGAATTGCATGATTTAAGGTTTATCATCAGACTCTCGAAGAATAATCCTTAGTACATACTTTTATAGGTTGATTTCCATGATTTGCACTAATGATTAAATAACTAAACTTTGCGGCAATTATTTTTTTTGAAAGATGTTGCATAACTTTACCCCATTGTTCCATAAGTTGTTCTGATACCCCTTTTTATTCATTCTAAAGTTAAAAACTTTGTCTTCGAATTTTCTAACAGTTACTGTTGCTTTCGTTTGGTCATCTTTTTTCTTTTCTAGTATTTGTTTGGTTGTGTAAATTGTCTGAACTCTCATACGAATTAAACCTGAACAATATAGCAATCTTTAGCGACCAACCATAAGCCTGAAGCGTCCACTATATTGTCAGCGCCGCCTGGAGTACTTATCATCGGTCCATGTTCCTCAACGAAGGCTGTTCAAACGCCCACGAATACACGATTGGCTGAGGCCGGCGCGCTTTTTCATAACGCAATCGACATGGCAGCGGCCTCTGCAGGTCTTCCTGGTAAAAATTGTGAGCAGGTTTTGGAAAAGCTTTTCTCTAAACAATTAAATGAAAATATGGGGAAGTGCGCTGTATTTGACAGAAAAGTAAGGCGAACACGTGCCCTTGTTCATTTTTTCGCCAAGTAGTTCGAATTGAATGCATCATTCTGTGAGAACTTTCTTGAAGATTTTAACGCTATTACTAATGCAAAAGGCGAAATTAATTCTTCAGACAGCGATGGAGGACTGCTTTGTACTTGGGATATTAAGTCTTTGGTAAAAGAGAATTACGAGAACACTGCTTTTTCTGACAGTATCATTGAGTTAATGGTATGTTTTGGTTTTTCAAAATACCTTAGTCTTATTATCATAGCCTTATTATTATATTTTGTCTTTTACTTAGCATTTTTAAGCTCATTCTTTCGTCTATAAAGCCAAGCTAGCCCCTTACTTATCATGATTCCCCTATTAGCATCTTCTTTCGCGTCATCTCTGAGAGAAAAAATCCATTCATTTGTTTAGATTTATTTTATGGTTGGCAGTGCGGATGTCTTACAGTGACAAATAAGGACACCGAATGTTTAGTAGCTGAGAAAACTTCAGGAATCTGGTCACATTCCAATGCTTGTCTATTGTTTGTTTTCATGGCTGTTCTAATTCGGCTGCCTTTTACCAGTTTTATTCACCCACAGGTTTACAGTGAATCCTGGCCGACTAATGTTTTTCTACACTTTAGAAACAGTTGTATACAATAGCACCTTCCGTTAGCACCGGATTACCGTCTACGCCTATTTCAACTGCTCGAAGCACGGATCCTCTCAAATCTGAGTCTACCCGGCTTGAAAATGCCAACTATTTGACAGAATCAACAAAGTTACATCTTCTTGCCGAAGAAGCTCAGCTTAAGGCCGAAATAGATTTTTTGAACGCCTATCTTAATGGTGAACCTGGCTGCGGTTCTGAATCAATGTATGTATCCGACTTTTCCACATTCTATATATGCTGTTTATTTACTAAAAGCAATTTTATCATCGATTGTATGTGGCCTACAAAACTTGCTTTAGCAATGTTTTGGCAAAAAGAACACGTGAATTTCGAACTGTGCTAAAGTAAGGTGACGCCATGAAAGAGCACTAAATAATGTGCGGTTTTCAGGTTAGCTACACAGAACGGTTCTTCAGGATCAATGACCGTCGTGTTATCGTGCAGCAAATTATGTCAGGCTATTTGTATATGGACAGTTATTAAGCAACTTTGCTTGCCTTGATTTCTAGAATCCTCGAAGAAACTGCCTACTCTCACAAGTCCTTAATTTGTCCCCACAAAAATACACCTTGGAGGCCTGGTCTTTAAGTCACGAGCATTTTCCCTTTTCCAGATTTCCTTATACATTTACTCAACTTAAATGTGACCTAATTCAAATTTCAATTATAATGGCACTTAGTGCATGGTGCCTATCATTGTCAGACTTCTTTATTCAGTAGCCAAGACGATATCAAAGACCTCGAATCTGAGTGTTCTTCGTTGAAGCGCGAGTGTCTGGAACTAATCAGATTGCTTGCGTCGGGCGAGTCCCTCGAAGCAAGTAGATTGCAGTCAGAACGACGAAAAGCCCAACAGGATTTCTGCATTGAACTGCTGGACCGAGTATGTCTTCTCTACGCACAAAATATTAGTAAACACGTTGTTTTACGCTGTGATTTGTCTGTAGAAAATTGACGAAGCCAGATTGGAGCTTTCAAAGCTTAATATTATGCAAGACATATTGACGTTGGAGGACGAAGGTCTTTCTGAAGTTTCCACTTGTTTTGAGAAAATCACTGCTGCCCTCCGGAGATATCGAGCTGTAACAATGGACGTAAGTGCCTCATTGTTTTCGAAATTCCTAAACTCTGGTTCCAACGTCACAGCTGGTTAATTTTGTCAGGTGAGCACCCGTTTTCAACATGACGGTGATTCAGGGGGCAAGGAGAACTCACGTCCCGTCCTCCCTGAATTTGACGCGGTCGACACAAAACTTCAGTTGATTCTTGTCAAATTACTCAAAGGTTGGTTTTAACTAGTTCTCACGCATCACAAATTGGGACCGGTTTTTTTACGTGATTGTATTTTCTGGCTAGGATCAACCGCCAATTTGGATTGTTCGAATAAGAACAAACTGAATAAGCGATTGCTAGCTCAACTGGATGAAAGGCTTTCTCAATTGGACGCTAAAAAGGTCGAATCTCTTGCAGCCATGGAAGAATACTTGCATAGTGCTCGTGTACTGTACGTTCTTCTTTTCCTCAAATGATAATTTTCGCTCACGTGCGGTGGGTATTCGGCCTTGCAAGCGATTGGTTCTGAAACCTGGGCGGTTCTTTTGAGTGTTTGTAAAGTGTTTTAATGCATCGCAGTCGTTGATCGGTCCGATTTTTCGATTCCGTGTGACTTGAAAGACGTACTCGCAAGCACGACCCAATAAACAAGCCATTAGCGTCGAATATTGGATCTCCTATGTTGACTTCAGTCGAAAATGACCACGATCCAAGCGTAGTGAACCATCGCAGACCACGTTGAGAACCGGGTTGCATCAAACGAAGATGGAATTGTAAACAGATAAGAAAGGTATATCTTTTCAGCAACCAATGAAATTGGCGTACGAAGCAGGCAGTAAGTCTGGATTGGCTGATTACTAAGTCAAACAGTTTTGGTGTCTCGTGGGCAATTGATGTAACCTGGTTTCGAAACGACTGACCACTTATTTCAAAAATTACAAAACGATTTGATTATAATTAGCCTAAAATTGTGTTTTTTTCTACTGAACAACTAAATGACCAACCCTTTAGATTTCAAATTGCCACTGGTCGTTAGCTGCGGTCCCAAGGTCACCACGTCAAGACACATCTGCCATTTGTAGCGAACGCACAGTAAATCGTGCTGATTGACGTTGGTGGTTGTGTGTGTGTGTGTGTTTGCCTCCGTCATATTGTACAATCAACTGCAGTGGATTTTCAAAAATTAGCACAAACACACACGGGACAACTTGTGGTCACTCTTTATAGCACCCCAAAAGCAGGAGAGGTTGAATGGAGCACCTTGGTGCATAAACAGCCAATCACAAACACGCTATTAGACAACACGATGCGCTGATTGGGTGTCCGTATAGTACTTTTTCCTAGTTAATGGCAGGAAAAGCTCTCCGTTACTTAACCATCACTTGTGCAACACGGACCAACCACCAAGCACACCCGCCTCGCTGTATTCTTCACAATTCGTCAATACCTCGATTCGGTTTCACCAAAGTTGATGCTGCACAATGCGCGATGGCTCTAACTAGTCACTCCATCAAAAGTTGCTAGTTTTTGTAATAGACCTTGTCTTCTGGCACAAGCGGAAGCTCAGTTCTAAGGATGCAGTGGTCTCCCGTGTTCAGCTATGCGTGATTAATTCTCCCCCTGTTGTTGTGGATGTAACGGCTGAAGCACCAAAAGACTATGTGATCTGTCTCTTCGTTTCCATTAATCTCGTGTAGGAATGATTTGCTAGGCAAAGCCCTCCGCCGTCTCGACTGCAGCGAAGAACATCCGCAACAATTCAGAGACACTTCAGTGGAATCTCCTGCCTTCTACTGGAACTCGCTGTCCCCCTTCACTGGTGTAATCCCACAGCGCCTGATCGATAGATTACAACAGACGCGAATGGACCTCGATGCCCTCACCTTGAACCTTCATAATCTAGAAATGTCCTATGAACTGAACTCAAATTGATGCTTACTAGACCCATGCTCTTTATACACTTTGTAATATTTCCAACCCCGTGTTTGGGCTTTTTGCTGTCTGCGCAATAGTTCCGATTATCTCTACATCCATGACTGTTTGTGTTATGTGCCTGTAACATTTTAAGGGGACACCCCATAACCCCATGTGGATAGCCTGGCCACTTTTACTATTAACAATTAGTACTTTTAACTGAGAAACCATCTGCGTAATTGTTGGAGGGATTTGCGTAACAGCGATGGTGAATTGTGTAAGAAGGTGGGGGGGGGGGCGGTGTTGGAGGGTCAACGTTAGCCGCCGGCGCTTGTCTCGAAAAAACAGCCAGGATCTCGCGATGTGCGTGCGTGTATGTGTGTAGCTCGGACGCCCATTGGTTAGCGTGGTGGCCACTGACGCGTATAAATGCATGTGCACGCACAGTGCCTGGCATTCAGCTGCGTCGAACAATGCGTCTCCGGTGTTGGTTTGCTCTGTGCCTGGGGTTACTTAGCCTCAGACACGAGGTGGCCG